AATAGAGCGAGTAAATGATTCAGCAGTATTTCAAGTAACGGGTATAGACCTTTGTGGTCCTTTATTGTTGAGAAACAAAGAAAAGGCATGGATTTGTGTTTTTACATGCGCCGTTTATAGAGCGGTCCATTTGGAGTTGCTGACTTCTCTATCTACAGAAGTGTTTCTTCAGGCTTTTCATCGGTTCGTGTCACGAAGAGGTAAACCCACAACTGTGTACAGTGATAATGGAACTAATTTTGTAGGAGCTTCAAATGCATTTAAATTAATAGATTTTGAACAAATTAATCGGCAGGCAGCCAATGAGCGGATAACATGGAAATTTATTCCCCCTGGTGCTCCATGGTGGGGTGGTTGGTGGGAACGTCTGATCGGAATGATGAAGCAAGTCCTTAAAAAAGTTCTTAAACATGCTTGTTTAAATTATGAAGAAATGTACACGATACTGTGTGACTGTGAAGCGATTCTTAATGACCGACCGTTGACAGTAATTCCTTCCGATCCTGAATTTAAAGCTTTAACTCCTGCCGACTTTTTAAAAGAAATTAGAACTAGTAGTTTGCGGGATATAAAATACGGTATTAAATCAAGTAATTTACAAAGAAGATTTCAGTATATTCAAACTGTACGAGAAGCATTTAAAAATAGATTTCGTAAAGAATATTTGGGAATTCTCAAGGTTTCGCATAAAAGAGCTGAAAGGAAAGTTACTATTAAATTAGATGATATTGTTTTGATCGGTAGTAGTGACAAAAGACTTTTTTGGCAACTTGGTCGTGTCATAGAACTACTTCCAGGACCTGATGGAATAAATCGGCTTGCAAGAGTAAAGACCCGAAATGGAATTTTGCTTAGAGCAGTTCGAACTCTGTATCCTTTAGAGGTAGCGCAAAATGATGTACCCGTGAAGCTGCAGAATGAAAAACAAGATTCTTTGTCTGAACTTAAACTCAACATAGATGATAAATCTGTCAGGCCTGTAACACGATCTGGTAGAACTGTAACTCCGCCGGACAGACTTGGCATATTAAGGCTCTTTGGCATTGTTTTACTTTGATGTGAAAGTTCACTTTTTTTTTTTTTTTTTTTTTTCCTTAGGTGGAAGGATGTTAAATATTTGCATAAGTCGCCTGTAGTAACGGCAACCGCCGGCAATAAAAGGAGGTGCTTTCCTTAGTGGCACCGCAGTTCCTTTTAGTTCGAGCCAGAATAGACCTGCCCGGGGAGAAGCCAGGGGATGAGAGATTCCGGTTTCCGCCCTGTTCCGGTTCCCGTCTTGTTGCGGATCCAGTCCTGTTCCGGTTCCCGTCTTGTTCCAGTCCTGTTCCGGTCCTGATCCAGTCCTATTCCAGTTCCAGCCTGGCCGTTTAAGTCCAAAACACGTAGGAGCGGATGTCTGAATTCAGCGGAATGGAGATATACGCCGAAAGGGCTAGATGGATTCTGTCTTTTAAGGGAAAGTGTTCTTCACCGTGCCGGCATAGCTGTTACTTTAAAGCACTTTGAAGTTTTCCACCCAAGATGTTAAGTTTTTGTTTGTGATGTTAAGTTTTCATCAGTGTTGAAGTTCCAGTTAAATAAACCTTTAAGTTTTAGACAAGGTTTTTGTGTTCTTCAGAAAATTTTAGATTCGAAGTCAGATATAGCACATAGGATTATTATCGGAAAAATCAACAGTCTTCGTTAGGCAGGATTTTTTAAGGGTGTTAAGGACCATGGTGATATAATTTAAGTGTGATCCGTTCAGCATTTATCATTGTGCGGAGTCCTATTTGTCCGGACGTGCGCATTCCCGTGAGCAACATCCTCGGGATATCCCAAGGATGTTTTTGTGCTATGTGGGATTTTTCTCTATTTTAAGACCTGCTTGTTACGAAATAAATATCATCAAAATATTCCTTGCTACATAATAATTTATTCCAAAAGTGTTAATCTGTAACTCATGTAATAATTCGGACCCTTGAATGTTTTATTGAGCTGTTTTGGAAGACGATGTTTATCCCCATATTTCATTATTTTAAATAAAAATACGTCTCAAAAATTATAGTCTGCATTTGGAAATTATTACGTGTTTAAAAAAAATTATTAAGATTTCCGTATGTGAAGTGAACCAAGGCCAACTAGAAATCTATCTAGCTGTCTAGTATATCTAGTTGGTCTTGAGTGAACACGGTAAGACGCTATAAAGCAATGCCAAGTTCTGTTTGAAACTTAATTATGCGATTATAAAAATGGTACCTCGTGATTTTAAAGATAATAAAAGTATTCAATATATTCAAATTGATGTAAATCGTTCATCCATTTACGTTGAACAAATGAATCGGACACATATAGTGAACATGAAGGAACTGGAGATTTATCCCATGAAAAATTAAACAAAACCCGTAAGTGCTTCAAAACTTGCAATAGAATTAAAATTACGGCTTACAGTAAAAACTAATCCTTAACATCTTAGAAGAGTCCGTTGGGAACATGTATTACAGTAGGTCATCAGCAGGAAGAAAACAAGGAAATACATGTGGCTTTCTTTAAACCCATGGAAAGTAAAGATTTCCTATCATATTGAAATAATGTTATATCTACAGATGACTACAAATTTTAAATGTTTGGGTCCGATGAACAAATTGCTATAAGGAGAAATCCAAATAAAAATTTGCATCCGAAAAATGTATTGCCTAGCTTAAGCATGGAGATAGAAGCTTACTAGTATGAGTATGTTTCGCTGCCTTTAGGATTAAAAATTTACTTTTTATAAAAAAGAATATAATTACTATAAATACATAAATATTGTTAACGAAAACCTGAAAGTATCTTTAAGAAAACTTAGAATGTAAAACCTATAAGCATCGTAAATGTAACATTCCTAAATGCTCGCTTAAAGTGTATGACTGAGCTTCAGAAAAGAATGAGTAAACGTGACATTTCTTCAAAAGCTCTATAAAAAGAAAATTTCCTGGAGGAAGGGAACAAAATGAAACATTCTTACTTGAAGAAATTGGGTTAATCATTGTAACTCACATGCCAAAGTAAATGAAAAGAGCAATTTTAAATAAAGGCTGTCTAACAAAGTATTGGATGTCCAGTTATTTTCATGTTTTTATTAAATAAAACTGTTTGATAAGTGCCCTAATATTCAAATGTGTTCAGTTTCAGAACTTTTTGAATAAACTATTTTCTGTATTAAAACGTTTGGAATAACTTTTACGAAAGCAAGCAGGTTTTAAAAAAGATGATCCGTAATATATGAAAAAAAAAAAAAAAAAAAAAGTCATTTCCCTAACATTTACTAACTGATACTTGAAAATAAAACTGACCGGTTCCGCGATGTCTTTTATGTCTGACAGACAGACAGACAAAGTAGACAGATGTCTTGTTTTGCACCCTCTAAGTCTTTCTGCACCGATCGGCACAATATCAAGCACAGGTGCGAAGGAAAGGTATATAGAAAGAGGGGCAATTTCGTATTTGAGGAGAGTAAAAAGGAACTTCATACATTTTGTATGAGTTCGAAAGGCCAGGAAGAAAAGATGGGACAAAATAAAATTTAAAATAAATGGCCCAAATATAATAGAGGGGGGAAAAAAGGCCCTATAGAAAGAAAAGGAAAAGAAGTAGAAAATATCCTAAAATACGATTGTGTCCATGAGTGTAGTCAAAAGGAGAAGAAGCTGTCTTCATTTACAATAAATAGTATCTCACAGGTGTGTGTGTGTAGTGAGTGTGTTTGGTAATGGTGAATAGTGAGTGTGTTTAGTAATGGTTACTGGGGGAAAAATATTGACAGTGTTAAAATGTTTTGTATCAAGGTATTTAGCATGGAATACAAAGTAATATGTATGCTTGCATCCTGAGACATCAGCAAAAGTCCTCAAACAAAAGTATATATTTATAATTTAACTAAAGTAATTTATGCTATTTTCGTTCCCAACATTTTCATACGTTTTTCAAAAAACAGCAGCAGACAAACAACATAGAACCATATACAATACAAGACCACAACCGCACACACACAAAAAAAATATAGTATATATGTGTGTGTGTGTGTAAATTACAGAGTATATGTATTAAAAACATAAATTAAACATAGTATTTTAATTTAACTATCATAATTTATTGCAAGATTAATCATTTGCTATCATAATTTATTACAAGATTAATTTTTTTACTATCATAATTTATTACTAGTTAATTAATGCTAGCATAACACAATGAGGCACACCGTTATTTATATAAACTCATAGTTCTAAGAATTTATTTAAGGCAGTGAAGAATAATCCATCCCTTACATATGGACATTTAACAGATAGCAAGGAACAGAATGATAAAAAATCGGTGAGGTATAATATTATTTAAAGGCGAAAATATATTTAAGCAATCTAAAAAAAAAAAAAAAAGAGAAACCAAAATATCCGAGAGGGAAGTAGTGCGATGCCCGAGTCCCCAATTTTCCCCTCACGAGATTCCTCAAAAGCCTTTGTATAAGGGGGGCTTTGTAGGTGGTGACAGACGTGAACTGATAACGTTGGCGTCTGTTTGGAATTGTAACCACAAAGGAAGCCACAAGCAATGAGCAATTTCAAGTATTGTTTAATGCTAAAAACTGATGAAAAATTAAAATTAATTAATTTAAAGGCACTTATTTATAGAAATTTGATTTAGTTTAGATGAAAGAAGGGTACTTATCTTAAAATTCCAGGCTTTCGTAGTATATCCTCACATTGTCCGCTGTTTCATTCTCATCAATATCGGAAGCCGAAAAATCTTTTGGTAAAAAGGTGTAGGTTTTGTAGAAAAAACACTATTTCAAAGTAAATTTAATTCATAATCACTAAGGGGAAAGGAATGTTTTACACTTTTTTACAGAGCGCTGCCAACATGCAGCCGCTTGCCTCGGTGATCGCAGCTATGTATTTAACTGAGAGTCTGTTAGTTAAAGTTTTGAGTATGGATATTAGTGCAACTAGTCCCGCGACTTTGAAAATGCTCCACCACTTTCTTTCTCCCCCCCCACCAGAAATCACTTCTGAAATTTTAATCCTTTTATCAAAATGTAAAGGAAAAACAAGGAAATAACAGTTAATTATAATTTCCATATAAAGCGTAACCTTACTGAAGATCAAGGTTATACAAAACCATAATGATGTTTTTCGAATGTATTGGGACTTTGTGCTATTATTGGGGTTAAAGTGCACAGTTGGGCGGCATTAGCAAAAACGGTCACCCACAAAATATGTTAAGCGCCGAATTGCTCAAGTTTTATTATGGCTTTCTCTATTTCTTATTCTCGCCTATTCAATTTTTTTTTTCATCCTACGGCCAGAAAGACTTAAAAGCGTAGCAGCGGCGTTATTTAAGTTGCATGTCTTTGCGAAATAAGGTAAAATATTACTTTTTATATTCGGTATTTTTAATTAATATAAATTAAATATTTTAAATTATGAAAGTTTTTAAAGGTCGTTTTCTCTGTCGTTAAGTAAGCAGGAGTAATAATATATTTCTTAGCACGTCTAACTGCGCGTGCTACGACTGAGCAGTTGAAACTATTTAATTCTTTCTTATTAATTTAATGCATCTAATTTATTTTCTTAATTAACGGCATATTGTGGTTTTCAACTTCATTTTTTCGAATTTCGACACATACATGATATAATGGCATCAAAGAGTAGTCAAAATACATTTGATGAACAGGAATTTATTTTAAAACAAGCAAAATTACGTTCTGTTCTTCGAATTCAGAATGGCAGAGCGAAACTAATTGATATCTTATCTCAATATTTAGAGACTGATCGCTCATGTGTGTTTATGCTGAATATCAAAGACCCAGTAGATTATATCAGAAGTTTTAAAATTGTTGATTTACAGAGTCTTTTATCTGATATAAAATTATATCAAGACCTTGAAAAAAACGAAAATTTAGATTTCTGGAATGATCTACAACTAATTGTGGAGAACATAATTAATGAAAAGCATTCTGATAAACTTGAAAGTTTGAAAGTTGCAAAGAGAACAGCTATTAATTCATCTGTGAAAGGTGATATTGATATGATTTTCAAGAATAAGACTCTGGAAGAGTTGAAAATCCTATATTTTGAGGTAGAAAATAAAATTGCTAGTCATCACATGATTGATGTAGCTTACTGGGAAGTACTACGCGACAGTCTGAAGATTCAAATAGCTGAAGAGAAATTGAGAGATGTTAACAAAAAACTAATGAATTCAGTTGAAAAGATATCAGTAAATGCTGAGTTGGAGGGAAAAATCACCAGCAATAATGACTGTCAAAACAGGTGTGAATCAATAGATGAAAAGAAAGAAATTTATTTATCTGAGCAATATAGTCCTAAGTTAGTACCATATAATGAAATCCCAACCTGCTTAACAGTAGTTGATGCTGTTGATGACATGGATCAACTTTTAACACAGCAAGAATTGGCAAAGAGGTTTTATAATTTTTCTTGTAGCCAGAAATCAGAATCACATAAAACATTCTGTGATAAGTATAAGCCCTGTAAACCTCGATATTTTAATAGAGTCCATACTGGATTTGATTGGAATAGGTATAATAAAACTCATTATGATTTAAATAACCCACCTCCAAAAATAGTGCAAGGTTATAAATTCAATATATTTTATCCTAATTTAATTTATAAAAATAAAATTCCTAAATATACCGTTTTGCCTTGTGACAATAATGACTTCGCAACTCTAAAATTTCATGCTGGACCACCATATGAAGATATTGCTTTCAAAATTGTTAATCAAGAATGGGATTACTCTAGAAAGAGAGGTTTTAAATGTCAGTTTACTAATAGTGTTTTTCAGTTATGGTTTCATTTCAAGAAACAGCGCTATAGAAGATAGAAAATACATTATTACTATGGTTTTCTGTGTTTTATTTTTAAAAGAATCAGCTGTATTTTTAGTTTGTTCAGATGCATATTTTTAATCTGTGCAAATACAGTACATTTAAAATTTCTCTTTAAAGATTAAAGGTGAACAGTTGTAATTATGATTGCTTTTTATACTTGTAAAATTATTATTATTATGAATGTTGTTATATATTGGTAAACAACTTTAGTAAATACAAATTTAAAACACTTAGAATGAACTATGTTTTTCTGTGTGTTCATGTAAAACAACTTCTTGTCATGTTCCAGTTGAATAACAATTTTAAATATGTAGGTTTATGTTTATTTATATAAACTTTTGATTTATTTATACTAAATAGATTATAAAATACAGAATTTTATAGTCTATAAAGAGGAAATTTTTAATAAGTTTGCAGAAAATCATATTTGGGATATATTCAATTAAATGCAAATTTATGATAATGCTAGAGAACTCCATAACTGTTACATCCTTAATAAAGTTTCTAAAAAAATCCTGGATTTTCATGTCAAAGCATTTTAATTAATACAAAGCAGTGTTTGGTTGATCTTTACATTATGGTAACTTGGCGATTTTTTGGCGAAAATTTGGCAACCAACTCTCCTACAGCAACCCTCTATTTTTTTTTCCCCGCCGCCATTTTGTCTTCACGAAGTAAAGACATGTTTCTTTTCTTCTTATCTACTGAACACTTCTTCCAACAATCTACTAGCCGAATTACACTTATGCTAGAAATTTTATCTAACAAAACTGCTTAATCATGACAAATATTCACTGCAAAATTGGGAAAAAGTGCACAATACCATACTCCTTACGCGTTTTTCAAAATAACACATACACATAAACCATGTACACACGTCGACTTATTTTACTTAATAAAACATCCCAGAATTACACAAAAAATGGCATTGCGCACACTCTTCACTATATCCATGTACACTGCTTTTTTCTCATAAATTAGAAAAATTTCATGAAAATACATGACAATTTTCTGAATCTTTAAACCCGGTAAAAAGAACATATATGAAATTACCTGATCGGAAAAAGTATATACCCTTTCCAAATATGAACATTTCCACATATAAAATAAATAAAATATCCAAAAACTTTTACCTCTAAATCATCTATTATATTATAACGTCACCAACGAATTCATACCGCAAGCATTACAAATACTTAGTGTCAAATATTTAAATTATTTCCATGCACGTTTACTTCAACTAAAACGTATACCAAATTCCTACAAACATAAAATTCACAAAATAACTATCATTTAATTAAAATATCACTAAACCATGTACACGTCGACTTATTTTTACTTAAAAAAATCCCAGAATTGCACAAAAAATGGCATTGCGCACACTCTTCACCATATCCATGTACACTCTCTTTTTCTCATAAATTAGAAAAATTTCACAAAATACATGACAATTTTCTGAATCTTTAAACCCGGTTAAAAAGAACATATATGAAATTACCTGATCGCGAAAAAGTATATACCCTTTCCAAATATGAACATTTCCACATATAAAATAAATAAAATATCCAAAAACTTTTACCTCTAAATTATCTATTATATTATAAATGTCACCAACGAATTCATACCGCAAACATTACAAATACTTAGTGTCAAATATTTAAATTATTTCCATGCACGTTTACTTCAACTTAAAACGTATACCAAATTCCTACAAACATAAAATTCACAAAATAACTATCATTTAATTAAAATATAATTAAATTCAAAAACACTACTTAAAATAAAATAAGCACATACATTAAATTAATAAAATTACCTTACAATCCTAATTACTTTAAAACTAAATCATTGCTAATAACAATTTTCCCAATAATACCAAATTACTTTACTTCCACCTTACATTTAGAACAATGCATAAAAATAATATCCTCAAATAATTAAAAATACTAACTTACCTTATCTTCTTCAGAATCTTGATTACGTGTCCGATAAACTTTTCTTATTTCTGTTTCAGGATCTTTTAAAAACATACTTATAGTTTCACAAGCAAGGTACCAGGTAAATAAATAACTTAATAAAACATCTTACTTCTATCTCGCACAACCTTAAAGAAACACTTATTACTACCCTTTTCAATCCCACTAAATACCCATTTCGAATTCACTTTAGTTAGGGCCATGGGATCCAAAAATTAACGAACACTGTTTCACACAACACAGAATAAAGCCAAATACAAAATTTCCAGATTTTTTCCCGATTTCCCCCCTTTTCCGATTAAAGAACCGTAATTCGTCCATTAATATCACATGACATATCCCATGATCTCTCATTTCCCTCACACAAAATAATGCGTAATCGAAACTGAGTACTGCTCACATTACTACCAAAGTCCCAGGTAGTAACCTTTATCGCCTCCAAAATGTCGCCAAACTACCAGTTACCATATTCTAAAGATCAGCCCTGTAATCATTTTGAAGTAAATTATCATTCATATTTTATTGACTATTATGTTTATCACTAAATAAATATTTTGTCCAAAGTTGCTAAATATGCATCAACTGAAAATTGAGCAAATTCTCGAAGCATATTTTATAAAATATCAGAAAAAAATGAAAAGTTTTTTTTCTATAGGCAGCACTTAAGAAAATTATATTATTGACAACAGCATGCATGTTCACAAAGTAATGGTTATCGTACAGAATAATTTGGTTAGAGTAGAGAAAAGGGTACTGACAACAGCATGCATGTTCACAAAGTAATGGTTATCATACAGAATAGTTTGGTTAGAGTAGAGAGAAGGGTACTCCCTGTATTATCATGAACTTTTTTGGTTAATCTTCGGATTATAGTAACTTGGCGATTTTTTGGCGAAAATTTGGCGACCAACCCTGCTAGAGCAACCTGCTAGTTTTTTTTTTTTTTTTTTTTCCTCAACATTTTTTTTAACAATCTGCTAGCCGAATTACGCTTATACTAGAACTTTTATGGAACAAAAGTGCTTAATCATGACGAAGATAAGGTGCAAAATTGGGAGAAAGTGCAGAATCACCCACTGTTTGCCGCGTTTTTAAGAATTGCACATATGCATTATCCATGTACATGTTGACCTATTTTCACTTAAAAAAACATCCCAGAATTGCACAAAAATGGCATTGCGCACACTCTTGACTTTATCCATGTACACTTCGAGCTATTTTCACTTAAAAAGTCAAAGAAAATTGACAAAAATTCAATTCTTCTTACTCTTGTAAAAAGCACGAAACAAATAATTGGGCTATTCTGCATTTTAGCAGCGAAATTGTTTCTACGTGCTTGTTAGCTACGATCGAAATTTTCCGGAAAATGTCACATTACATGTCTCATGATCTGTCATATCTCTGAGACAAAATAATCTGATTCGATTTTGTCACTTTCCAATATGGATTGAATAGAGCAAAAAGTTCTGCAATAATTTTACTATGCTTGCTAAGTAGCAGACTCAGTTTTGTTGGGCCATTTTTTTTTTTTTTTTTTTTTTTAATAAATATATTTTTACAATCTGTATGTTTACGGTGATAACTGGGCTACAGATCATATTTTTTTTTAATCAAGAGCAACATTTGTTGGTTAATCTTTGGATTATGGTAACTTGGCGATTTTTTGGCAAAAATTTGGCGACCAACCCTGCTACAGCAACCTGCTAGTTTTTGTTTGGTCGCCATTTTGTTTTCACGAAGTAAAGGCATATTTTTTTTTAATCAACATTTTTTTCCAACAATCTGCTAGCTGAATTACGCTTATGCTAGAACTTTTATGGAACAAAAGTGCTTAATCAGGACGAAGATTAGGTGCGAAATTGAGACAAAGTGCAGAATCGGCCACTGCTTGCCGCGTTTTTACGAATTCCACATGCACGGTATCATCCATGTAAGCGTCGACTATTTTCACTTAAAAAAACATCCCAGAATTGCACAAAAATGGCATTGCGCACACTCTTGACTATATCCATGTACACTGCTAAAGTCCTAGCTAGTAACCTTTATCGCCTTACCAAAATGTCGCCAAACTACCTGTTACCATATTCCAAAGATTAGCCCATTTGTTACCTGCTGTATGTTAAATTAAATTGTTATTTGCAATTAAAAAATAATTGTAATTGTTTCCCATAGTTGAGTAATGCTGATTATCTCTTTAAATACTGAATTTCTCAGATTTTGAATTACGGTTGAATCTCATTATTTTAAGGTTATGCAGTTGTGTATATATGTAGTTAATGTAATTAAACAGGTGCTTATTTTTTTTCTTAAAATGTGCTTGAAAAGTGCTTATAGGTGCTTATTTTTTTTAACTAAAATGTGGCTATGAACCCTGTTTGTGTAGTGCAAAGATGAATTTCCTTTTTTATGTTATTTCATTGTTTGATTTAAAATGTAGTTTATTGATATTATATATTTTTTGTTGGCTGCTCTTTTGACTTTTCAAGTGAATATAGTTCGATGTGTGCATGGGAAAAGTCTAGGGGCTGCGCAAAGCCTAGTTTGTGCAATTCTCTGATGTTTTTTAAGTGAAAATAGGTCGATGTGTACATAGATAAAGTCAAGAGAGGGCGCAATGCCATTTTTGTGCAATTCTGGGATGTTTTTTTAAGTGAACATAGGTCGATGTGTACATGGATACCGAGTTTGTGCAATTCTTTGTCTTGTTATTTTGGCTTTGTGTAGTGGCGATTTTTGCGCAAAAATCGGCACTAGACAAGCCAAAATAACAAGTCAAAGAAATGCACAAACTCGGTATCCATGTACCCCCAAAAATCACCATGTTTTGCCAAGGCGTAACCGTAAATATACTTTTGCTAATAGTTTATATCAGTGTTATATTTTTCTGAAAGATAGGAATTTTCTTGCAAAATGCATATTTCATTTATATGTTCCACTGAAACAGTTCATTATTATAGTTTAATTATTACTTCTATAGATTATAATTTCAGTACTGATAGATTTCATTGAGATTTTTATCTTTGGGAGACAGGAGATAACCACACCTAATTCCGTAGCTGACACATAGCTATGTCAAATATTAATGCGTATCTATGTATTAGAGTTAGTATTATTTCTGGGTTGGAACTAGTACCAAGTACAGAATGTTTTGGATTGCTTAATAACCCAAAATGTTACACATTTTGGTTAACACATATTGTTTTTAGAGCTATGCCAGATATATTAATATTATTGGGTAAAGTACTAGAGTTAGTATTATTTCTGCATTGGAACTAGTATGTTAGTCAAATACAGGTGTTTTGGGGTCGCTTAATAGACCTCTCTCCTCTTATGATGTGCTCTACCTTCCCCAGAACTGTGTCGCAACATTTACGGGACATCCTGTAGATATAAGCAGGGTGGGCACTAGATTTTTTCCCACTTGGTGCAAACTCTTAGAAATTCTGCCACCTGGCGGTTGCACGCGCTTTGCTGCCAGCTCTGTGTGTAAGCATTCATGATCTTGTTTAATCCCAGAAAGCTATATTCTGATTTATTATCAAAACTAAAATTATTTGAAAAACAGTTGAAACAGAGATTATTTTATTTGGTTTTTAATTACTGTTCTGCTATTGGGACCATATTCACAAATGTATGTATGCATGCACATGGTTATGTATGTATGTGCATATATGTGAGTATGCATACGCACTCATACATTTGTACATAATGTACAAATGTATGTGTTCAAATATGCATACATGAACACATACAATCATAGATATATGCATGCATATGTACATTTCTGTATTCGGCTCTGATGACAGAACAGTACTGGTTTTTATTATGCTTTAATAATTTGGAATTTTCCTTAAAAAGTGTTTTTATTTATTCATTTTTGGTCCTATCTGTTTCCCTGCAGTTCTTTCTTACTATAGTGTATCTTTTGATAAATGAAATAACATTTTGCGTTGCTGCATACATTTTTAGTAACCATTCTGTTCCTAATACTGTCTCTTTTTTTACAGTAGCAACCATATGTAAAAAGACTTGTATAATAAATAAATACTTAAAAATTATTTTTGTGATTTATAGAAAAGGATGGTACATTTATGGCCATTCATAATGAAGCACATGTGTCCATAGTGATTAATAATGTGTGCAGATTCAGGGATATAATATTAAAATGTACATAATTGTGTTTAGGAGTGCGGAGTATAACACAAAAAGCTACCATAAGGCCTTTAATCTTCTTACATCTGCAACTCAGGAAGTAGAACATTTAATGCCATCAGAAGAATTCCTTGAACTAATGGCATAATTCCTTTTGTGGAGCATAAAAAAAAAAAAAAAAAAAAAAAAAAGAGAGTTTTTTAAGGTAAATATGTGTATCTTTGTTCCCTGCCGCTCTTATGTTAGGGTTTTTATATGTAGTATTTTAAAATCTTTCTTACTGTTTTTCTATAAAATATTCTCAAAATTACTCTCAGGAAAGTGCTCTGTTCTTTTGGAAAAATAATAACAAATAACTTTAAAACTGCCCAACAGCAAGTGCTTTTATTTCAGAAAGACTTTAAATCATTTATCTATTACATATAAATGATTTAAATACTAAACTAAAATGGAAAAACTCCAATATCTCTTTTATCTTACACTGAAAGTATAAAATTTTAAAATTGCTTCTTTGAAAAGACAATCTTTTCACATCACAGCTTTTGTTATTGTATTATTTTTCCATAACTCTGTGACATAAAAGTCAAACTGCCTTTTAATGAAATTGATACATTTGAGTTATCTTTTTGTGGAATTCTAATTTTCCATTATAGAATTTGTATGCGATCCTTATTTGAGTATGAGATAACCTTCAATTAAACTGTTCACTTTCCATCAGTGACTAACATAGTTGTTTCCTGAATTGAGCAAGTCAAGTATTTAGGAATAATCGCAGTCTTATATTAAATGAGTATTTTTCAAGTTTCTCTGGCATAAAGCTATACTCCCCCCCCCCCCTAATTTCTCAAAATAGCATTATATTGATTGATAAATTACTTAAAAATCATAATAAGTATCTGATATTTACATGTGTTTATCATGTCTAAGGTTTTTCAGTGTTATCCCTCAGCATCAATGAACTCAAAATGCCAGTAATTTATATATATATATATATATATATATAATAAAAAAAAATCATTTCTGGTAGAAGTGAATGTTAAGTTTATGTTTATATTTATGCTAAAAATTTGAAAAATATTCTGTAATTACATGGTAAAATTTAATGATCACACTTAATTCTCCTCACATATTAGCCCAATAATGTTAGCAGAAGTCAAATGCCATATACTCAGGCAACCATGTGTGTAATAGTTCTTCAGTTTTGATATGCAATGCTGTCATTTTGATATGCCTTCTTATTATTTTATCCAAGTTCTAGCAGTGTTTTTAGATAAATTGTCTTTTTTTTTTTTTTTTTTTTTTTCCAAACTAATTTTCTAACATGAGCTTGCTTACAATGAAAAAAACTGCAATAATGTTTTGCATGACTGTAGTATTTTAACACAAAATCTTGAGAGGAAAATTGCTTTGAATCTCTTCTTACCATAAAATCTAAAATATGAAAAATATTGGTTTATTAATTGATTTTTAAAATAAATACCTAATTAAATGGTAAACTATATATATTAATATAACAAATAATTTTTTTTTTTTTTTGCAGTTATATGTCATCATTATTTTTCTTCTGTAAAAAAATTCTAAATGGCCTCAAAATAATAACAGACCCACTTTATCCCAACTGTAGATTATGCTATTAGTCTTAATAACTTTAGGAGATTGCTTACCATTTTAAAAAAGCTTAATACCGTTTGCCCACTTTTCCCATTTTTTTAAAAATCTTTTTTAGCTTTTCCATTCAAAATTAATGAAATGGGTCTGAAAATTCCCAAATATCTGATTAATAGTTTCTGCTGCTTGGCTAATGAATGCACATTCTCTTTTTTTAATGATGCTGTACATACATCACTAAAAGTTTCATTCCTCTTCAAAAAAATTTAAACATTATGAACTTTATCTCAACATTGCTTTAAATTATTGCTAATTATAGAAGGAATTAGCCAAGATGCAACAAATTAATTGCTTCTCTTCATAGATAAATAAACATATTTACATATACCAGTTCCAAAATGGTATGATTTTTTAATGTAGTAGATGTTTAGAAACTCATTCAGTCAGCTAAAGCAGTCTAATATTTTAGTTTTTTGCAGACATATTGTCTAAGTGTTAGAAGTTTATGTTTATCTCTGCAGGAAAACTTGTTAGTATTGGTCTTCTTGGTTTTAGTTTGCAGCTTTTATTTCTGTTGATTCTTCCAAATATTTATTTTCATTCACTCTATCAGTGTTATTGTACCCCTCCTTTCTTTTGGCTAAACTTTTTTCATCAGTCTCAGGTGCCACATGTTACTTAATGACATCTGGCTATTGCCAGATGGGGCTCTGCAGGATATACTCGATGAACTCGCCTTAATTGATTCAAAGAGATATCATGTGAATCACCAAATTCAGATTATCTGTCATAAGCATCTGTGTTATGCATATCATATGTAAATGATGCACACATATTTAAATGTGTTTTATAAACTGTCAAACTCTGTTATCTTCCTTTCCCTTAAAAATATAACGTTTTTTCTGCCTTTTAAAAAAGCTACATATAAACACCATAATTTTATTTCTGCAAAACAGTTTCATATCATTGTTGCATTCTCACTCTTACACCTATTAAGAGCCAGTCCAGTGTCATTTGAATTGATAAGTCACAAATTCAACATCATCTGTCTTTAAATTATATATGTATCTAAACAGAGAGAAGATATTTTCCATTTTTTAAAAGGGGAAAAATAACCGATCTCTTCCTTTCCCTTAAAATAAACTTATTTTTGCAAATACCAAGCACATTTGGATTTTTAAATTCTTTGTAAATCATATTAAATAAAATTTTTAAATAATGAACTTAGGGTAGTAGTATATTACTACAATTTAAAATACTATCAAGGTAATTTAGTATTTTTTCAAATAATTAAGAAAATGTAAGGTTCTACCCCCTTTATGAAAAGAATTAAAAAGCTGTGTGAATTACCCCTTTCCTTTTTGAATAACATTATCATTTTCACAATTTTTATGGAGTACTTACAATATAGAAATATGTATTTATAGAAGTTACGTTTTGCAATCAAGCAGTTGTCAAGTCTTTGAATGAGAATAGATTTTTTTTTAGAAAGCGGATACACACTGTTTGAATTGGTTTGCAGTTTTCATGTTTAAGATCTGAGGAACAAGTGTTTTAGTTGAATAATAAGTCAAATGAAATCTGTTTAATATTGCTTAAAATTGGCTAGTGCCAAAAAGAGTTCTGTGTAACCTGTCCTTAACACCTTATATAGAATTTTCACTAAGCCCTGTTGTTGTCCCCTTATAACCATCACATTCTTTAGACTCTTAATCATTAGACTGAATTAATGAATATAGAAAGGCTGGCTCTGAGGATCATTACCGGAACTATTAAAACTACTGCAATTGATGCCCTTATACTTTGCATGGTAAAAAAACACATCAGAAAAAATTTCTCTGACTACTGTATAATTTATATGTTGTGTAAAAGCTTATTACACAACTTTTTATAGATTTTAAGAAAAGTATGTAAATGAACCATGCTAATTTTTCACATAGGATGATTTATACAACTCATTTTAAAAGAGAGAAAACACTTAACTCAGTCTTTTTTACCAAGACACAACTTCTTTGTTCGAAATCGTAAAATTATTCATTCAGTTTTTTGTCTTGATATTTTTTGGCCATTCTTTCAACCTGATACCAACTGTGTTGTTCTTTATTCTGTTGCAATATATACTATTAGAAGGAGATAACTTTTCAGGTGTTGGTTATGGCTTATACTGATGGGTCTCATGATGACAGTACAGGAAGATCTTCAACTGGAGTTTTCTGTGAAACCTTTTCTTATTATGTACCCTTTGGCCAATTCAAAACTGCTTCCTGATAGCGAAATAAAGATTTCAGTTATATATATATATATATTATATTCTTTCCATAGACTATTATCATTTCAGATTATAGAAAAGTTGTCTTTCTGGCTATTGCTGATCAAAACTGAGCGACAACTAGTTAGTGAGGAATGCTGGATTTTCTTGCATTACCTCACTGGTTACAGGAAAACTATATTTCATTGAATTCCTTCTTGTGTGAAACTCCTGGTGACAGCTGTGGAGGCCCTTGCAAAGAAGAGCAGATGCATCCTGAACAAGACCCAGCAGTATCATTTATGAATCTGCATTCCCCACTGCATATCAGAGAATTCTGAATCAATGTAAAATATATCTATAAGGAAGAATATTGAAGCTTTTTTGTTTGACCATTGAGCGTTTCCACCTTTTGACATTTTGGCACTTCTCTTTTAATTTGGTAGTATCTCTAACCCATTGTGTCCTTTCTCTGAAGACACATCTGTGAATGTCTCCCAGCACATCTGATACCAGATTCAGTGCAGGTGCACTAGGTTAAAACAATTTTAAATTTAATAGAAATTGCACAGCAAAATGTCTAGCACCAGCCCTGCTCTCAATTTTGTCTTCTGTATTCTTGTATTAAAGCATTTCAAACATCTTTGTCAGGCAGCAGCAGGTAGCCAACCTGTGTTTTAAATTCTTGTAAACTTTGATTAATAAAATGTAGCACATCATTTTATTTATATGATGTAATGAGTGCTCACATGTATTATAGGATCCATATAAAATGGTGTGTCCATTTGCTTGCTGGCATTCCTGGCATCTTTTCTTGTTTCAAATGTTATAATTTAGTAGCCCTCTAAGCCCAGGCTTTTAAAACAGCTGTTTCTTGCTAAACATGTAGAGATTTTGTTGGAATGCTCTGTAATGATTCTCCAATTCCAACAATTTTCTTTTCCATTAAAACTTTTTCTTTATGAGTTCTGTTGTTGGATGGTTCAGTTTCCCTTAATCTAACAACAACATTTCTGACAGTATTCCTATGAGGAACTGGAAAGCTAGGGAATTTTCTATGTATTGTCTCTATGCACATTTCTTAAAAAATCTGTTTTTACATAAATGTCATACGCAAAAAATCTTTTTGTTTAAGTGTTAACTTTTGCCATTGCATTGCACACACAGTAATAAACTTCATATGACAATATCTAAAATCACCTCATGCTAAAGCCAAACTAATCCCCATACAACTTGAAGGAGAGTCTAAGACAATGACAGCCTTGAGTGGCACCAGCCTGCTACTGCTCTTGTCTGCCTATGCATTGCTAGCACAAAGATGTTTACCATTCTGCCCGTCTACACAGTGACTCCTACAAAGATGTTTGAAATATGTTGTATCTTGTCTGGCATTCTCTTTAGTCTCAGTAGTGAAGGGCATGAGATGTAGAAATTTTTTACTGCCTTTTCTTTTTTATTATTTTACTAACTCTGCATAAAGACCTTTTTCCAGCAGACTACCTAAATTTGAATAAAACTTTATAGTTTACCACTTACATTAAAATAACTTATTCTTGTAATGTCACAATATGTTAATTTCTTGATGAACTTGATTAGATAGAGCATAAATTCGGTAATGTTGCTTTTGAGTAATACAAATTTGTAACAGAATTTGTTTGACTCCAGAGTGCAGTTTCTGTTTGAGGAGTTCCCCCTCCCTCCACCTGAATTTTCTTATGCTTTGTACATGGCACCTAACTGCTACTTTTAATACATTTTGATTGAAAAAATGATGCATGAAATAATACTTTCAATGACTTAAGAGCTTTCTATGTGAAATAAACTCTGATATTGGTAAGACACAAAGTATTGATAGCATATTGAAAACAGATTTTGATGTTGATTCAGGAAAATATTGAATAGCATGTCTTTTAAAAACTACTGTGGTTATTTATGAAATTAAATTTGTTATAATAAAAATATATTATAACTAAATGTTTTTAGCATTTTATTTCACATATTTAATTTTCTTAGTAGTTTTCCTTTGTTTCCTTATTGGCGCTTCTAAAATTATTTAGCATGCTTTAAAACTGAAAAATATGTTACTCATTCCAAATTAATGAAAAAGCTTCACATATTAAAATACATTATCATCCAGTTTCAAATTATTTCATTAATCTTGTTTAATTTGCAGTGAGTTATAAATCATTTATGTAATAAATAAATGTACAAAGTTAATAATTATTATTTCATAATTCTCTTTTTGTAAATGTGATTATGTGTAACAGTACTTATTCAAAGCATCTGCAAAGAATTTGGTTTGTTAAATGTTATTCTTTTAATATCGTATTGCCAGCCATACCAGTATACAAAGTATCTTATTTGTTTAATGTTATTAAAGTATTGTATTTTTTTCATGCTAGATTTAAAGTTGTGAATCAAAATTGGGTGAAGTATTTGTCAAGGTAAGATTTTGAATTCTTTTTCATGCCTGACACAGTAGATCTTGGGAAAAAATTCTAAATCTATGTTCCTAAAAATTATATATCATTCAATCTGCTTATAAGAGAGAACTAATGATTAAGTCTTGGTTTTCACTTTTACCACAATTGTGAAGTTCATTTGCATACTTTTTTACTAATTGTAAAATAAGTTATATGGATTTCCAATTTCCATATAATATTTTTGCAATTTGCTTCATCTGCTTTTAGCATTCCTAATCTGGTACCTCCTACATAAAAATGTACGGCTCCAATGTCATATGCCAGGTGATAACAGTCGGACTATACAAATACAGTCAAAAGTCGTTAATTCGGACACCCATAATCCGGAATGATCTATAATCCAGACCTCAAAGCTACAACCTTTCTGCGCATGCGTCGCGTTGACGCATGCGCGTAAGACCTTTACCGCTGCGAATTTGCGCGTGCGCAAAATACGTTTATGAATGCGCGTTTAATGTATAACGGACGGGATAAGCTAAGCTAAAATTATCTAATTATCTATTTCAGTTAATGTTGCAGATTGCATTGTTCCTTAATCTTCGAATTGGATCCGGATTATTATTTTTTGCAGACTGTTTTCGATTATGTCAAATAGAATTTTCGATATATATTTACAAATATGTAAAGGATATACAAAGCGAAAGTATCTTTCGGAGCCCATTACACAAAAAGTGGAATTGCTACAAAAAATGGATAAAGGCATATATTTTGTTTATCTAAACTTTAACGTTTGTTTATCTAAACTTTGTTTATCTTAAACGAGGCGGTGGCGTGCAATGAATTCACTATCCTTATCTTAAGGGCAGATGTTTTTATTTTATTTGGCTTATAATTGCTTACTCAATGTAGTATTTCATCTCGATGTACTCCATCTTTGATATGATTTAAATCAAATGCCTCGTCATTATAATTCGCTTCCGATAGCGAAGAAAATGACAGAGGTTATTGAAAACGAAAAAATTTCGATTGACAAATTAGTCGGTATTCTCGACACAGCAATTATAGGACGTGAACAGCGGAACTTTGTAACTGAACAAGAAATTATGTCTGTTTATAGAATTAAAGAGAATGTATTATCACATAAAAAACGAATCAACTTAAACAACTTACATTGAAAGAAATGTTTAATAAAGTAAACAAATAAATATTAAGCTTTTTTTTGTAAATTTTGATACCCTTTAGATCATAATTGTTCTTTATTTCATAAATTACGGTTTTATATTTTTAATTTTATAATTTCTGCATGCCATTTTACCAGATTTAAACTGATGATCTATAATCCGGAAAAATCGATAATCCGGAATCGCCGAAGTCCCGACGAGTCCGGATTAACGACTTTTGACTGTACATACAGTTAACTACAGATCACCAGTACCACAACACACAGGAAAACCCTAAAGGTTGCAGGAAAGAAGTATGAAAGACTGCCAGAGCTGCACGATTCAAATTCATATTGTGATCAGTGAATGATAGCACATTATTTAATTCTATTAATTTTCAAATTGCCATAATTTCTATAATTGTATATAATATTAATTCATACAGGGCTAGATGCTGCACAAGAAACTCACAGAAGCTGCACATTACTATTCTTGAACTTTCTTTCAGACACTGCCAGAACATTTTTATTGTTAAAGTCTTTGTGCTAGTTTTTGAGATAAGAAAGTGTTAGTCAAAGTTTAGTAAATTTTTTTTTTTTTTTTTTTTTTTTTTAGTGATTTTGTTTACAGCATTTACATATGCACCATGTTGGAAAGGGGTGAAAAAGGAGAAAGTTTATGGTGATATTCCCCTTGTTATTTTTTTTCCTTTGGTATTTTTTAAATTTTTTTGATGAAAAAATAGCAGTGAAGAAAGAAACTTAACGTTTTAAGCATATTATTTTTCTGGGAATGAGTAAAATATAAAATAGAAACACTTTACGGTAAAATGTAAAATTAGACAATAAAAGAAAACTTTAGATTGACTTGATTTTATGTAAATGTCCGGTCAGTTTTTTGAGAGCAATTAATAAAGGTCCTGCTTCCCTTGGGAGAAAAGAATTCTACAACTATGTTTTCCCCATCTGAAGAAGAATTGTATTTAAATTCTATACAAATCTAAGGGTTCTTCTTCCCCTGCCCAATATTATGTAAGTGAAAGGAACTCTGCTGCTCTATATTTCATTTGCTTCTTATTTTCATGTTGATGTAGATCTTGTCTTGTTATTTATTGTCTTATGCTTTCATTACCTTGTAAAAAAGTGTATGATGGAAGATGGATATTTTAGGAATAATGAAAGTGTAATCTCTTGCAATTTAAAATCCTTAAATTTTAATGTAATGTTCCTTTTTAAATACACAAAACTGATGAAACATTTCAGAACTTGGGAGTTTGTTTTACTGTCTATTTCATATTTTGTAAACAAATTTTTAATTTAAAAACTCAACAATTTCAAAGTGAACAGTGGTGACACGGAAGGGAATAAAATATTTTTATCTCCTGCATCCAAGTCCGTCTATCAGAAATTCTAAAAATATGCTATTTTTTTAAATATTTTTAGTCCAGTGTGGCATTAGCTGAAATGCTCTTGAAACATATATGTGTCTGTAAATGGTGAAGCAAAATTACTGTTTTGCGCATAATGTAAAATAATTTTTTGTTTTCTTAAATTTTGTTATTTTTCTGCATTTCTTTTCTTAATGTGAAATGGTATAAATGTTACTGGCAAAGCATGAAATCTAGCATTCTACAGAATACCTAGGCATGTGACTTTTATTCCTTCACTCAGGTTCAGAATTTGCCATTTGCATTCTGAGCTTTGTTTGGGAGTGTCAAAATACTCGAGTTTACTTAAATTTGTTCATCAAAAACTTAGTTTTATACTGTGCTGGATGAAAAGGGAAGAGCAAGATGTAGTGTTGGAGAAGGACTCTTGCTTACCAGAACTTGAAGGAAAAAAAAAAGCCAAAATGAGTACTAAGAAGAAACCGCAGAATTGTTGGTTGCTGAATCGCTGTGATGTATAAATCATACCAACCAACAAGACGCATAGAGGGCACTAACTGTCAACCAACAAGACGCATAGAGGGCACTAACTGTCAGTCTGAGAGGTGCCAAAAGTTTAGTTTCTAGGAGGGAGACCTACAGAGGTCATAGATAATGGGAAGGCTTGTAAGAACCATTAGCAAAACAAATTAACTTGTATTAATGAATGTACATATTTCAACCAGTGCATGTGCAAAGTGGTGTGACAAAATTCATAATTTCTGTGGTCATACTAGTAAAAATGGAGAATTGAATATCTTGTGCTCTCTTTGTTTCAAACCAGAAAATGCTGTCAGATATTAAATTAATTCTAAAATCAGTCTGGAAATACAAGCCCAAAGAGAAATGAAAATGAATTTGGAAACAAAAGTTTTTTACTGTTTCTTTGGGCACCAGTGTGGGAGTTCCTACTCCTGACATTAACAAGGGTCGAAGTGATTCATGTATTTGGCAGTTGTAATGACTGTGACAGAGGATAGTTTTCTACCAGCTTGGAACTTCTAGGGGAATTTTAAAACAGCATTATGTGAGATCACAATTCATTTCATGCCCTTAGAACTTGCTTAGAACTGAAGATGCTCCTGACCATAAAATTCCTCTCTGGTCAGTTCCCTTGGAAGCTGCCATGGATTCACCAAGTATATGTGTAAAACAAAATCCTAAAATACGAAATGTCTTTGAGTGAAAAAGTGTTGAAGTGTAATTCAAAATGTCATTCAAGCCTACAGTATAGCAACAATAAGTTAAATTTAATTTTTAGTTTTTTGAAAAAATTACATTTTTAAAATTTTGTTTTCAATGTGTGTATTTTTTGTAAAGTTCATTTAATGACCCTGTTTTACTTTCTATGAGAAATAAAATTAAGTGAAATTCAAAATAAAATTATTTCCTTTCTTGGTGTGGCAAGCAGCTTCATATCTTATTATTTTTTTTAATGAAAAAAGGCATAAATTTTTTGTACAACTTGAATTTTTTTATGGATTTTGAATAAAAGTTTTTAATGGCAGTCTTTCATTATTTTTTCAGAACAATATAACTATATTCTATTATTCTATATATGTATATTTGTGGAATTCTATATATGTATATTTGTGGAACATTTTTAAAGTAATAGCCATATCATGACCTTTTTCGTACTTTCCCTAAAAAGCATTTGTCAGTCTATAAAATGCCTTTGTATTAGATATAGTGCCTAGGTAAGTCTAGCAATATGGGTATTCCTCTTTCTGCCTTAGGGCACTAAGAGTCCCCCCCCCTCGGAACAAGGCACATAGTTCAAGGTTCAAGGGACGCATCGGTTTTGCGACACTGATTGTAGACTATTATTTGCTACCTGTCCGTCGCAGAGGGACATTACTCAACAAACTAGAGGCGCTACCCCCGGGCTACTAGAGCCAACTGCTCTAGGATGTGCCAAACCCTCGGGCCGGCTAATAAATGCCTTTCCTGGGGCCTTCAGAACCACCAGATTCATGATTTACCCCTACGGCCAAGACTGCCTAGGTACAGATCCCAGGCAGTAGCTTCACAGAGTTCTCTGTGTCCACCCCATATCCATACTTTTCCTAAAAACTCCTGTCATTCTAAAAAATGCCTAGATATTCTATAGAATGCAGATATTTCATACTTTTGCTGGTAATATAAATAAGAAAATATCAAATTATTATAAAACAATTACTGTTTGAATAAAGCATAAATAAAAGGGGAAAATATATAAATGTTCATAAGCTTTATTTAATGCAAAATTTCATCATTTTATTAGATTATAATTTTGATGCAGACAGTGTATATACAAGAAATAGAGTTCTAAAATTTGCAGTCATCATATTATACGTTTTTTATTATGCTAATGGATAAAATACACTTGTTTCAAAATAGTATCATGTTTCTTTTTTAGCATGAAAGATTAATAAGGTATTTTAGACATGTGTGAGGCACATCAGGACACTGATTTGTACCACTCCAACTTATATCCAAAAGCATTAAGAGCCATTTATCATAAAAACAATGTTACTGCAAGAACACCAGTACAATCTAATACACAACATGGGAAATTGCTGTAAAGTAATGACCACAAAATTTGTTACCACATTTTAACAATGTATGGAAAAAATTTACCACAGTTTCCTGTCTATCACATTTCCTATGCTCTCATTTACATTCATTTTTTGAAGAAATAGACAATTCTGCATTTTAATCATATGTCAGGCATTATACAATAAAGATCATATGCATTTTCCATGTTCTTAGCCGCAAAATCGTTCTAGTTACATGAGTTTTTATAGTTAACTTTTCCTGTGAATAAAAAGAAAAAAATTTGTATACATTCGTTTCTAAAAAGTTTGATTATTGAATGAAATGAAGCATTAATACCTTATATAATTCAAACATACTAAACTAGAAATAATTGTTGTAGTTGTAGCTATTGCTGGAGTGAATTTTCATGCTTTGAATTTGCTTTTGTGTCGATTAACTGGTGCTACACCATAATTTTCTACTCTTAAATTGGAAGCAGTAAAAATGAAGTCCATATGAAAATTAGCAACAGTTTTGGCCTTTATTTGTATTCAGTAAAGAAAAAAGCACTAAATAATTGGAACAGTATTCCCTCCAAGAAGTTATTAATACTGTTTATATAATATATATATATACAAATTTATATTTCACAAGGTGTAAATGCAATAGAATTAAAATATTCCCATGCCTTTTTACCTGTCATGGCATAATTTTTATATGATAGGCTGTGCTTCTAATAGTATCTCAGTGATAATACTAGCATTCAGCATTCCATGTACACTTTTTTTATGTAAAACCTAAAAATGTATGCAAGAGAAAAATAGTATGGCACGACATAGATGGCCAGGGCAATGTTTCTGTACCAGTCTTTTTCTGAGAACAGTAGATGGTTCTGTTTATTTATAACTTCTAAAATTTGTAATGTAATTTTATTTTTAAAATAGTAGATATATTACAAATATAGTAACTTAATATATATCAAAAGTGTAAATGTGTTCCACCATATTTCTAGAAATACTATTGATTTTTTTTTTTTTTTTTTTTTTTTTTTTTTTTTTATTATTTATTCATATTATTTCCATAGAAAAAAATTCAGTACAGCACTGAAGAGAATATTTATACAACACCTAGCTCTCTTTCAAAATAGTTACAAATAAACAGAAAATAATTAATATAATGAATGTCTTTTGTAATTTCTCAAGGAATATTTTCCATATTCTTTTATTTTAATTTCATATTTTATTTGGTATTAACCTGTACAAAATTAACATATTTCTGCAATAATGTAACCTATTACAGAAACAAAAAGCAGTCCCAGTAAAGTATAAATTTTTATACTTGTGCATAATATATCACTGTAAGCAAATGCCACTGTGAATCCTAATGAGCACCAGAAGTAGAAAGTTGAAAATGCTGCATCAGCATTTTCAGCAAATATAATTCCATAGAATGCTGGAAAAGGTAATAAATGCATTAGCATAACCAACAGCATATAATTTTATTAAAAACTTGATTGAGTTGCAAAATAAGTTTTTATTATATTGTTATTACAAAATTAAAATCATGCATTAGAAGTTATCACAAATTACAATGTGAACTCTGTCATCTCTTTCTAGATGATATTTCTAATACAGTCAAAAGTCGTTCATTCAGACACCCATAATCCGGACCTCAAAGCTAAAATCTTTCTGTGCATGTGCCGCGTTGACGCATGCTCATAGGCGTTTTACGTGTGCGCGCAAGACATTTACAACTGCGCATATGCGTCTGGGCAAGGGCAGAATACGTTTTCGCGTGCGCGTTTAATGTATAACGGATGGTATAAACTAAAATTATCTAATTATCTATTTCAGTTAATGTTGATGATTGCGTTGTTCCTTAATCTTCGAATTGGATCCGGCTTATTATTTTTTGCAGACTGTAAGAGCAATTTTATAACAGTAAGCTTGAACTTTCGATTATGTCAAATAGAATTTCCGATGCTGGAGCTCCCAAAGGATCTAGAAAACGAAAGTATGTTTCGATGTCCATCAAACAAAAAACGAATTGCTACAAAAAATGGATAAAGGTATATCCTTTGTTTATCTAACCGTTCCGAAATCTGTTTATCAATTTCATGCTGCTCTGCGTGGGGGGGGGGACGGCGCGCAATGAACTGAAAGTTGATCTGTCAGCACTATCGTTATCTTCAGGGCAGATGTTTTTATTTTATTCGGCTTATAATTCCTTGCTAAATGTAGTATTTAATCTCGATGTACTCCGTCTTTGATATGATTTAAATCAAATTCCTCATCATAATAAATATCATGAATACAAATCAAATAGTTTTCTGGTTGCAATTTTCTAATTTCGGCTATGCGTAAGGTATGCTTTACGCATGCGCGTGTTGAAAGAAATGTTTTATAAAGTAAACAAATAAATATTAAGCTTCTTTTTTTGTAAATTTTGATACCCTTTAGATCATAATTGCTCATTATTTTATAAATTACAGTTTCATATTTTTTATTTTATAATTTCTGCATGCCATCTTACCAGATTTAAACTGATGATCTTTAATCCGGAAAAATCGATAATCCGGAATCGCCGAGGTCCCGACGAGTCCGGATTAAAGACTTTTGACTGTAGTAATATTGAAGTGTATGCTTATAGTCCAAATAAAATCCCACTCCACAAATGATCCATTTTAAAGCTGATGAAATAAAAAAAACTTGTTTTAGAGTAATTTCTCAAGTTACTCATCTCTGCATTATTTGTTGTAACAACAATGACTTAAATCAGAGTTTTAAAAGCCACAATATTAATTTCAGTTATCAGTATTCAAGAACATTTTAACATTTTACAGTATTGTAGAAATTTAGTTATGCACTGACTATTCTAGTTACATTACTAATAACTGAATCAGTATTTTAAATTTTTTAATAATCAGATAAGCACTTTGTGTTCTATAGTGCACTTGATTATCCCAAGGATTATTAGGATTAGCATTGCATTTTGCATCTTTTCCTAATGCTTATCAATTAATTCAAAAATCTAAATATTCATTTACTCACTTACTTCAAACTTGTTTCAAATGTTATCCCAGTATTTATTGCTTCATACTTTCAAATTTGCAAACTGCTTTAATATCACTTATCTTCACAAAATATTATATCACTTATTTTTTTTTTTTTTTTTTTTTTAATAATGTTTTCAAAAAGTCTGCAAGTTTCTTAATTTTCATGCTAATTTAAAAATTGCCATCCTCTTTCTACATAATTCCATAATAATTTGGATTAGTTTCTTTCCGTTCATAAGTTTGGATTGATTATTGATTTTTTGAATAATGACATTTCCTTAATGATATTCCTTAATTTTTAATATGTAAAAATTAAATTGCATGTTTCATAATATTTGTTGCCTGATTGATAATTTATATAACTGTCATTATATAACTTACAATAACTACTAATAATAGTAATAATTATATAACTTATAATATTTACTTATATTAATAGATGTCAGACTACCATCTTTTCCATTTCTTTCAGCTTCAGATTACCACTTACCATCTTTCATCTCAGTATCCAAGATTCCTGAGTTTTATCGCGATGGCATAGCAGAGCTAGTCACTCGTTGGCAGAAGGCACTGGATGCCAATGATTAGTTGGTGATTAATTTGAAGATTAGCAGGGATTATTTTTTGTTTTATGACCTTTTTCTTTCTGGTTGTCCAAAACGACAAGAACTTTTTTGGTTACCTTGTAGTTTATAGAATGAAATTTGAAATTGCAATGCTAGTTTAAAACTGATTTTTTCAAATCTTTCTGATGGTAAATTATATTTACTCAAAGGAAACATTAAAAATTGGTACTAATGTGTAAAAGGCCTTTGTAGATGTTAAATTGCTTGTTTTTATTAAGAATTTCATTTATGCTATTACCCGATGTATATCCAGTTCTACACTGCTGGCCACCGTAAATGCAACACCCTGAAGGAAGCATGTAAATAACATGAAATTTACAACATGCATTAGCAGAGGTGAGATATGCAAATGATTAGAATTTTAGCACAGATGCACATCACATGCGCCTGTGGCGCCACTTCAAAGTGCTATTTAAGGCTTGGAGTTTTCGACGATTTCAAGTTTGGCAATTGTGTTTTTCTTGTGGTTTAAAAAAAAAAAAAAAAAAAACGATCAATTATGCTTTGTAGTAAACAGCGATCATCGTTTGATCAAGTATCCTAGTTCGACAGAGGAAGGATATTGGCCTACCAAGAGTGTGGATTATCTTTCAGGGAAATCGGTAGTCGTGATGGACGAAACCAAACAACTGTTATGCTGATATATGACCGTTGGATGCAGGAGGGTACAACGGACCAACGTGTTCGATTGCATCCACTTCAGTGCACCACTTCATGGATGACAGGAACATTGTGCGCATGGCAGTGACGGATCACTCGGTCATATCACAAAACATAGCACAGCACATTCAGCCTGTAACGCATCATCCAGTGTCTGCGTACCATTCAATGCCGTTTACAGCAGAGTGGTCTGTCCGCAAGACGTCCATTGCTTCGTCTACCCTTGACGCAGAACCACAGACGCCTTCGCTATCAATGTTGCGATGAAAAAGGATGTGGACGGCAGAATGGAATGAAATTGTCTTTACTGATGAATCGCGCTTCTGTCTGCAACACCACGATGGTCGGATTCGAGTCTGGAGACACCGTGAAGAGAGAATGTTCAACAGCTGCGTTATGCACCACCACACTGGTCTTGCACCGGGTATTATGGTATGGGGCGGTATTGGATAGCATTCTCGCATTCTTCTAATATGCATTGCCAGTATTTTAAACAGCCAGCGCTACATCTCCGATGTGTTGGAACCAGTTGTCCTTCCTTACCTTCAGGGCTTGCCCACAGCCATATTTCAACAGGATAATGTGCTACCACATGTGGCACGCATTATCCAAGGGTTCTTCGTCAATCGCCAGATTAAATTGCTTTCCTGGCTGGCTCGCTCTCTGGATTTTTCGCCGATAGAAAACATGTGTTCCATAGTTGCTGAACGATTGACCCAGATTACATCCCAAGCTGCCACACCGGATCAACTTTGGCAATGTGTGGAAGCTGCTTGATCTGCTGTACCCCAAGAACACATTCAAAGTCTCTTTGAATCAATGCGAGGTGTGTGGCAGCGGTGATCTCCAACAACGGCGGCTACTCTGGCTACTGATTCTGGAAGGAACCACACTTCACAGAAGTCTAGAAATTTAATCATTTGATGCTTGGTCAACATTTTATCTACTAAATAAATTTTGTTGTAATATCTCTTGTCTTTCTTTGTGTTGCAATTTGGGTGGCCAGCAGTGTAGTTGCTGACCCGATGCCTACATTTTGCAATGGGTTTTAGAAGATGGAGGGAAAAGTGATAGTCAAAATTCCACTCATCTGGACTGAAAGACTTGAGATACAGTTTTTCTCAAAGGAAATGCAGTTCACTGTAAGTGGAAAAATTACCAGGAATTTATATTTTATCATATTGGAGTTCAAATAGATTGAAAATATGTATGATATCATCACTGATTGCAAAGAATCAAATATTTGTTAACTAAAGAAAAATTATACTTTTTTTTAAAGTGAAAAGAAACATCTTCTGAAAAGATTTGTTCTTAGAATTAGGTGACTAAAAGTCTAATGCATAATCTAGTAGAAAAAAAATTACCTGTCTATGTAATGTAGATAGAAAATGTAATGTAAGTGTTTAATCAATGTAAGCAGAAAAAATTACCTGTCTCTAACAGAATCAAAACATTCTGTTGGTAAGTGAGTAATCTTTTCAAAAACTTAGTAGCAGCAAATAACAAGTCTGAAATATGAATTATATATTGTCAGTTGTGAGCATTCTATTGCTGTGGAGTTATTATTATTTAAGCAATAAATGTGTAAATTAAGTAATGTTTAGCTTAATAATTTTGAATGCCCTTGTAAAAGAAATAGAACTTTATCTCAGAAACCAGAGTGATTTAACCCCTTATGGTTTTTACTCTTAAATACTGTTATGATAAGTTTAATGTGCCATACCCTATAATGCTCTTCTTTTCAACATAACGTTGTCACGGGAAGAGAAGTAGTTTAATAGATGAATCACAGAATAAGCCAAGATACATATTTTGTAATTTTTGTTTCCTAATCATCTTTATTAGGTAATTATTGTTAATAGTAAAAAAATAGTTAGATCAAATACTTCTGAGTTTGGTTGCTGAAAAAAAAAAAAAAAAAAGTGCTTGGTCTATAAATATTTTTGTAGGTAATAAATTTTTAAGCATTGGTTATTATTATTGAAACATTCAATAATAAATGTTTTTGCTTTCTTATATCATGTGTTAAATAAAGGATATGTTGAAACACTTTGTAAGATGTCACAAGTATAATATGCTTACACATTTTCAAGCTATCTATTCGCAATTTAAAAAGAAATTCATAATCTTGCTAAAATTCTTTTTAATTCTAATATAATATTTTCGTTATTTTTAAGGCCTTACTGAATATGTAGTAACATTCAATAAAAGTGTAAAAAACAAGATATGCTTCATTAACCTGAGCTTCAATATTTGGTATAAATGTATGTTTCCATGTTATGTAACAAGATCATGAGATTCAAAACTTTTACTTCATGTAAGCACATGACAAGAAATTAAAATAGAAAAACACTCTTTTTTACTTCCTTGTACGAAGTAAAAAGGAAGTATTGTAATCGCGAAAAGCTTCAGGCAGCATATTTCAACGAAAATATCCACTTTGACTGCTTTCAAATGCAATTTAACGATGTTTTTGCGTGATATCTGTATGTAAGGACAGAATAAAAGACTCTTTTTCTCTAAAAAAACTGCTTTAAAATGAATTCTGAAGAGAATTTTTCGTGGCGTCTGTATGAATGTATGTACGACGTATCTCGCATAACTCAAAAATGAATAGCCTCAGAACGTTGAAATTTTGTATATAGGAGTACTATAACATGTAGATGTGCACCTAGTATTTTGGTTTCAATCGGCCGTGCCAAACGTATATAAATATATTTATAAAATATATCCACTCTGTTACCCGAATCAGTAATCTCAGTTTCTTTACTCTTATATGTTTGTAAATGGTACATTTTTTTCTTTAAAAATGATTGAATTATGTTGTTTTTATCTTCCGGTTAATGGTTTTGTGCCTTTAGTAAATCTGTATGCAATATTTTAGAATTATCAACAATTTAAAAGTTGTTTAAGTGCTGCTAAGCCTATTTTGATGGCGGAAATTGCGTGTTTACATTTGAAACAGCTGAGTAGTGAATTTGTTGCCAATCTAGAGAAACGCCTTCATTTATTATTGCGATTTAAATCATGCTTAATCCTTTCTGGAATTTTTTCAAGGAAATAAGTGTTTAAGATTTACTTAATTTTTAATAATTAGTAATTTTTAGTAGAGATATTTTGAGTTTTTATGTATTTTTGCCTTGTTGCGAAGTGAGAAGTGATTAATTGAATGAGAAATACTCAATCGTCTGTAAAAAACTGTTTGTTTTGTTTGCTTAAATTCTTTTATACATCGTTCTAGCTTTATTTTAGTACTTGAATAGAATGTGGCAAGGATTAGATAATTCTTTAAATGATACAAATTTTGTGCATTAAGTCATAATATGAACGAAATATAATACTGTTAAGTGAAACTTGCGCCAGGGTGTCGCTATGGTAAACAAACAGAGTAAATTTTAAAGAATGCACTTATTCTATTGTGGTTTATGCGCTGTCGGTGAAATAAATATAATTAAATAAGTTTAAACAAAATGCAACAAAAAATGCGTATAATTTAATATTCCGTACAAGGAAGTCATGTGGTATACACATCAGATTTTTTTAACTTAGAATTGGTCTGTTAAGATCAGCCAATACGATGCTTTTTTTAAAAAAAATTATATATATAAGTGGATGGACAAAAATATGGAAACACCTTGTGAAATGCCATGTTTGAAAAGAAAGATTGACTTAATGAAATATGTAGGTGTCGCTGGCTTTTTGACTACTGACGCCACCTATACAACTTCGTAAATGTGTGCTAAAAACAGTTCAGTTGTTGTCGGAGTACTGTTATGTGAGGTTGTCATTGCATTATGTCAGAGTTAACAGACTTCGGACGTGGGCAAATTGTAGGAGCACGTATGGTAGGTGCTTCCGTAAGCAAGGTAGCCGAGGTGTTTAGTATTTCAAGAGGTACTGTATCGAAGATTTATTCCGCATATTTGAAAAGCAGAAAAACATCATCTGCTAAATCACAGCGCGGACGAAAGTGTGTCCTGAGTGATCGTGACAGACGATCATTAAGGGCAATTGTGACGAAAAATAAGAAAACCACAGCTGCAAAAGTTACTGCTGAAATGAATGTTGTGTTGCCGAACCCTGTGAGTACCAAAACAATTAGAAGGGAGTTTCATAAACAGGGAATTGCTGGCCGTGCTACAATTGAGAAGCCACTCATCAGTGATGCTAATGCCCGTAACAGGAAAAGGTGGTGTTTAAGTCATAAAGCCTGGACTATAGAGCAGTGGAAGCGAGTAATATGGTCTGACGAGTCTTCTTTCACATTGTTTTCCACTTCTGGCCGAGTTTTACGTCTGGAGAAACGCCATCTCAAGCCTATAATACAGACTGCTTGTTGCCAAGAGTGAAACATGGCGGGGGTTCTGTTATGGTTTGGGCAGCCATATCGTGGTTCTCTGCTAGCCCCATGATAACTGTGTCAGGGCACATGACTGCCAAGACTTATGTGAACATTTTGGCCGATCAAGTTCATCCCATGGTACAAACTTTGTTCCCCGATGGTGATGGTGTCTTCCAAGACGACAAAGCCCCTGTTCACACAGCTCACATTATCCAGGACTGGTTTTCTGAGCACGAGGATGAGTTGTCCCATCTCCCCTGGCCACCACAGTCACCAGACCTGAATATTATCGAACCTTTGTGGTCTACATTGGAACGGAAAGTGCATTCTCGTTATCCACCGCCAACATCGTTATCTGAATTTGCCATCGTTTTGCAGGAAAAACATACAGGAACTGTATTTATCCATTCCGAGAAGACTGCAAGCTGTTTTGGATGCCAACGGGTTTCCTACACCATATTAAGCAAAGAAACATGTTTTTTTAAAGGTGTTTCCATATTTTTGTCCAACCCCTGTATATATATAACTTAATAACATTATCTACATTTCTTTTTGACAAAGATCTGTGATTGGAAAAAATATTGTGTGCTCAGTGTTAATTAAATCTTCTGACATGGTGGGGGGTAAGGAAACAAATTGTAAGTAGACTTTGTTAATATTTCTTGCCAAGATTTCTCTCTCTTCCCTCTTTCAAGAGAGATTCTTATCACTATCAAACATTTTAATTGTTTTAATTGTAAATCTGCATGTGGAGATCTTTGAAATAATCATATGTTTATTACATGTACCCTCCTTTTCTGAAACAGCTCTCATCAAAACATAAAAGGAATATCTTCTATTTTTAATATGAAAACATCTCTTAGAATATTCTTTCAGAAGATTAAGACCTTATAACTCAAAAAATTAAATCATTATATGTCTGAGATTGATAAATAAGTTCTGAAAGTTGAGAGTAGTCATGAAAATGTAATTTGCAATTTCTCTATCTGAATCAGAATTTTGTTTATTTTTAAATTGCTTTTCATTTCACTTGTATAGTTCGTGAGTAAATTTCTTCTATGATACACTGAGAATCAAAAGTTTTAGAATAAACCATTTAATGAAATACTTGTTCCAGAGCAGTTATAAATGTCTATTCGTGTGTTGTATTTTTCTAAAATTAGCTGCTTTTTAGAACCATTCTTCGGCAATTGTGTTTTTTGTTCATAGTAATAATTTTGCAAATTATTTCATAAAAATTTTTAATCTCTGTAAGTAGCATGTATTGGGATAAAGGTTTTCATATCTACACTGCTCTTAAATATCAGGTTAAGGGTCCTAAACCACAATGATTAGCTTGAAATACTAGCCCATTAATCAGTAAATTTTGACGCTGAATCTTATAAAACGATGATACAAAAAACCTTCATCAGTAGAATGTATTTTTGAATGCTATCCTTCCTTTCATTACCTCATTTTAAGTTTGATTTTAATTTTCTTTATAATTCTTGATGTTGAAAATAGAGAAGTTCTTATGATTTATTTACTTTGTTGTCTTATTTTGCTTACATGTACATATGGATTCACTTTTTCTTAACTAAACATTCATGTCCCCCCCATCCATAGTGTTACCATCTGCTTGTTAAGTGCTGATTTGTTTTAATATAAGCATGTTGGCTTTACATAAACACAAATGATATGCTATTAATACAATTTGTGAGTGGCAACAATTTTTAATTTCAGTTTATTGTTGTTCCAAAAAAGAATATTCTTTAAATTTATCTATGAGAATGGGGAATTCATTTGACTTACTTAGTAGAATTTTACAGTGTAATTAAAAACATCTTTATTTAGGAATCTTGGATGTGTAATGTTTCTTTAGTAACACTTTTATGGAGTCTGGGGCTCAAAGTTTAGCAGAAAATTCAGTGAATTTTCAGATTGCATCTCACACATAGCTTTTTTCACTAAACATATAAATAACTCACCAGAAAAACTTGTTAAGGAAAAGTAGCAAATTATGGTACCCTTATGGCACTAAAACAGTTATGCCTTTCTTGTAACTATATGCTTAACTTAAAATTTGTTAACATAACAACCTTGAGTTTGACGTAATCCCTTTTAAGAGGTAATTCAACCAATTTGCTTCTGTTTAAAACCATCAGGAAAAGCAAGAAGAGGAAAACAAAATGTTATTTAATTGGTTTCTATAATTATTATGCAATATTATACTTCTGAAATTGGAGGCATTATAATATTTGTTGCATGTTAAACTTACAAAACAGTCTTATCATTAAGGCCATAAATTCATTATAAACATGTCTATTAGCATAGTGAGGAATAATGAGAAATTGTAGAGATAAACTCACCTGTTATTTGCGACCACCATACGCTGGCACCAATGCCATAAATTCCAGCAAGAGCATAATAAAACATAAAATTATCAGGTCCAGGTGCCCACACTAGAAGTGAAGTGAAAACTGCAAAGTGCGAGATGGCAGCGATAATGAAAACTGTTGGTCTTCTGAGATACTTTACGAGAGAGCCCACAGAACAGTCCGTGACAGCGCAGACTACCCCATAACAAATTGTCACATAGCCAACTTGAGATATTCCCCAAGCACATGCTATAAATGCCTGAAAAAAAAACGTTATGCAACTTTTGAAGAAAATATTTGTATCTAATCTGAATAACGATGGTATAGTGGTTAGTGAACGCTGATTGTTAGTCCAAAATGATAGTTTGAATCCCATATAAAGCTAGATTATATATGTGTGTGTGCCTTTCTCTTCTCGCTAATGTAGTGCTCATCTATTCCCTGGGGTCCACTATGGCAACATTTTTGGTGGTAAGTTGACTGCTATTGCTGACGAATGCTTTTGAATAACTGTCCAGCTTTTGGATAATATTTATTCATAATGCAAAAATTGAGTTGAAATTTATATGATGTCAATTACAATCAGGTTTTAACAATTTCAGCCATTTTGTGTCATTTTCTTTTACTGCTATCATATAACAATTTTTATAGCGATATTTTCTAATTTGAAGACAGCCCTGTTCTCTGAAATACATAATATTTTATTCTTTGTTTCAAAAACCACTCAACAGTATTCTTTAGTAAAGGAATTTTTTTGCCAAGGATAGCCAAAGCTAAGTTTTTTTTTTTTTTTCCAAGGATAGCCAAAGCTAACTTTCTTGGGCAACCTTAGTCTTTAAACAAGTAAAAGACTTCTTATTTGGTCGCCAATGTAAGCTTTTTGATTATAATGATGTCAGTAGGCATTTAGTTGTAGAATTCAGCCATTGACAGCAACTCGGCTTTAAATGCCGCAACCCTATTTCACAGTTAGAGCACATGTTTTCTTTTTGATACCTAAATATAGCACCACTATTTCTTTATAAAGTCTTAAGCCAAACATGGCCATTCATTGCAACTTTAGCAGGCATTTTTAAATTACACTTTTTAGAGGTAGGAGGCATTATTCCAGTAAGTAATTTTTAGGTCTTTAGGCATTTATTTGTAATAATTTTTTTGTATAAGGAGTGATTAATTTCTAAAGATTTTATGATTATTTTTAATTATGTTTCATTTTTTATTTAATTAATCGTCTTATGTAGGATGGGAAAGAGACATTAATTTTTTCAAGAAAGGCACTTCAAAAACTGGTGTTGAGAGCCATCTAACATGCAAACTCTTTCCACCTCTCACACAGCCTCCTCATCACAAACATTCCCTTTACCCTATGAATAAGTCTTCAGAGGGTGAGTCAGATGTTGATTCCATGTATGTAGAAAATAAAAAGATGTTAATCTTACCTCCATGGTTGACTCACCCCTACCCATGTAAAAATCTAGCTCATCCACACATGCCTTAAAAGTTACGTACTGTATAATAAAATAATGCTTTATTTGTTATTTATAATTTTTTATTTGTAATATTCTGTATTTAAAATTTATTTTTGTGTTTTCGTACTTTTAAGTGTTTATTTGATAAAATAGATCTTATCTTATGGTTGTTTGGAACATAACTCGTTCTTATGTTGGGGAGCAGCTGTATATATACATATATATATATACTGAGAGAGAGAGTAAGAGAGACAGCATAGCAAAACTCATCTGTAACCAATTCAGTGTGGGCCATTTATTCATGAAATTCTGTCCAACTATAAGATTTTCTCCTTTCTTTCTGCATGCCTTTGTGGTGTAACAGTAGCACACTTTGCACATATTCAAGAGGTTTAGGTTCAAGTTGGAGAGGGCATTGCATATTTTTAACATCTCCTGCATCCAAATAATGACTCTATTTTATGGCTGCCTGACGGCTATTTTATACTTGAAGCATTCAGAAACAGAAACAACATTGGTGGGGCTCAGAATCGTCTGGGAACCAAAATGTGAGCAGTACTACTGTGGTTTAGCATTTGGTTTTAGACTCTCTGGACATCACTTGAAGAAGAAGCATTATGCACCGCAGAAATAAGATCTCTGTATCGGAAAGAGGCTAAAGAACATGTGGAACAGATTACTAAACCGTGAAAAATATTTATTTACCAAATATTAAATACTTTTATTAAAATTAATTATTAAATATTTTATTTAAAATATTAAAAATTTAATAATATAACACCATTTAAAATTATTATATGTCATTTATACATTGAATGGGGGTCTAGGAACTGTTCAAATTTAAGGAACACCTACGAAAAATCATTAGAATAAGATGGAAAAGTGTTTAAAAATAAACTTGGCACATTAATGCAACTATGGAAACACTTATTTCGTATTGAAGTCATGAAATGTTTTATGAACACATCCAAAATCTTATTATTTTTTAATACTACAATATCATCAAAACCAGAGGTGGTTCTGCTGAATGTTAATGTCACTAGATGTTTTTAAAACACAGGTTTTTTAAGTTTCCCATGTTTATTGTTAATGCCATTTTTATATGATGGATACATCAGTGATTGTGTCTCTGTTCTTTTACATAAGTTCAATGGTTTTAAGAAACTCCTGTAATAAAAATATTATACATATATGTAATAAGTATGTTATAATATATGTGTAATAAATCTGTTATTTGTGTAATAAAATACACTATACATATATGTATATGTATTTTATATGTAATAAAAATATACACGTATACACATACCTTTTACATAAGTTGCATTAACAATAATTATAGTAATTCATGTAATAAATATATACATATATATATAGCATACATACAATCTGAACTTAAGCCACAGTTTTTAAGTTTGGAAAAAAAATAATAAAAATTAGCTGCCCTGAAATTTAAGCCCAATAATATTGGAAAGTTCAAAAGATAACTGGCAAAAAATATATATTAAAAAATAATAAAAATATTTTTCATTTTATTTAAGTAAGTAAACTCTGATATGAATGTAATAAGCTACCTGTTGAGAATTTTCTGCAGATGTACTACCACTTTCAGAATCAGCATTACCATCTTTACCTATAACACCAGAGCACATCATCTTCACTGCCATTTAAATCATTAGAAGTGTAAAAAATTTAAAAAAAAAAAAAATTCTGTTAAATTCTGCAGGAAAAGAACTGATTACTGTAGAGTGGAAGATCGGCAGTAACAAGATGTTAAAATATTCGCTATCAATTTAAGTCTTACCCTAATTTTATATGTTAAATATTTGAGTAAAAAATAAATTCAGTTTGAATTCGAAGTAATATGGCAGTTTAAAATAAATTAGTCACATGCTTGTTTTTGCAAATTATTTACTTCATTTTGCAGTATCTTCTTATAGTTTACCGTAACAAATAATGAATGCAACATACAATATAATTTCTTGGATAACACTTATAATTCAGCAAAGTAGAAAACTTTTAGATGGATTTATACCAGGACTGTATACTGGATTTTCATGCGGGGCATGCTGCTGAAGAGCAATTTAAATATTCATGCAGGGCATGCTGCTGAAGACCAACTTAATAATAATGTGTATGATAAAAAATATGTAAATCTATAATTTAGCGATAATCTATTAATTCTTCATTTTTGAATTTGGTTATTTAAAAATGAAGAATTAGTCCAGAAATGTTAATTACTATTCTAAAAATAATAATAACATTTCTAGACTGCACCATTTCTAGATTAATCTATGCCACAAAGCTTGCATAATGCTGATGACGTAGTTATTTTAGATCCTAAGCTCTGAGAAATGAAAATTTTCCAATCTAAACCAAAACCTTCCTCTTGGTAGGCTTCCATATTGGATAAATGCACACTTCGCTTGTATCTCCGTTGCTGCTTGGATGCTATTTAACTCCATTTTGCTTTCTTGTGCTGTTAACGATGCCATTATTTAAAAAGTGATACTCTATATAAAACTCTGTGGTGTCTATTGCTCCTATGATCATATGTAATGAAAATAGGGTTTCAATAATTAGTTTGTGTCCAGCAATAAAAATTGTGCTCAATTCAACTACATCTCTCTACAAGTCTCTCCTTTGAGTGTCATCTTTCTAATTATGCAGTAGTCTCTCCTAGTAATAATGTAGAGAACCATCATCAGACCATTGCAACTTACTCCAAGTTATAATGAGCCGGCAGCCATGAAGCACCATTTAACCATGGGTGAAAATTCATACATTAATTCATTAATGTGGATTTGCCCATAAAATTGTTAAAAGTGTGTATACAGAGAAAGCTGTGGAGTCTTCCAGTTTGTACAAAAATTGGAAAATTAATTAGAAATATCTATAATAATAGAAAGAAAGGAATGGAGGTTTTTAGATTCTACTGCATTTAAGCAGTAACCCATCAACAAGTTGTAACGCTGATTTGCACTGTAGAGGATTTGCTCATTTTTATCAACGTTTATTTCATTATTGTACTAACTTTTGTCACTTTTCTGTGTTTATTAAGTTATTCCATTGTACATTGCTTTACAATTAAGAAAATGTGAATTGTTTTACAAGTATTAAATCATTAATTTTAATACAAATTTTATAAGTATGATAAAAAAAGGATTTATATGGATAACAACAAATTTTACATAAAACTTTAAAGCTAAGGATTGCAAAATATTATGATATTCAACCAGAGATTTTAAGAACTGTGAACTTTTACAGTTATTTCTTGAAAAAATTAGGACATTCCTTACAGTATGGTTGCTGAAAAATGAACTTGCAGACTTTCAAAATTTCAACAGCATTTTCACTTGTTAAAAATGATGTCTACAAGATTTTGTTATTTTAAGACAGATCAAAATTTTATGATTATTTTTTCAAAACTGTATTTCTCTTGCTTTGCTTATACTTTAATGCTTTTTCCTAAAAAGGCTTTTCTGTTGCCAGGCATTTTTTTTTAAAGGGAGGATATGTAAGATAAAAAATACATAAATAAAATTTATAATTTAATTTAGTAATAATCTCTTAATTCCTCATTTTTTAATTTGGTTATTTCTTCGTTCTAAAAATAATAATAATTTTTCTGGACTGTGCCGTTTCTAGATTAATCTATGGCACAAAGCTTGAATAATGCTGTTGACGCACTTATTTTGAATCCTAAACTCTGAGAACTGAAAATTTTCTAACCTAAACCAAAATCTTCCTGTTGGCAAGCTTTCATACTGTATAAATGCACATTTTGTCTGTATCTGTGTTGCTGCTTGGATGGTATTTCATTTAACTGTGCTTTCTTTGTATCGCAATACTATTAAAAAATGTAAATGTTCTCGATATAGGCACAATTAGTGTGCCAAGTGATTATGGCCACAAATGTCAATTTAAATAAAAATGAAGATATAATCTGCCTCGACTGCTAAATTTCTTATTCATTTTAGATCAACATTTCAGTATTCTATGCAATCATATTTCTTCCTTTTCAATACGGATCTATGTTCTATGCCTAACAACATTGCTACGTTTCTGTGTCTCAGTGTTCTAAAATCAGTACTTCTAAAATTTGCTGTTATCTCACATATATAGACATGGTAAGAAATTTAGAAGCAATTTTTTGCAAAGGCCCAAAGGAAGTGAAATCCAATACCAATAAATTTCAAAATACCCTATAAATACGCAAATAAGAATTAAAAAATGTGAAACTAAAAAATACAAAAATAGAGAAAACACAAAACAAGAGGAATTAATCAAATCTGATATAAGGTTATGAAGAGAAGGATACAATAGACTCAATTACTATCCTCCTTCCCCTTGAAAAACCACTGCGTTTCTGTATCCAAAATCAGCTGATGAACTGTTCAAAAGTATTTCATTATAACAGTTCATCCGAAAATTTTGAAATGGTATTTGATGATGTATACAAGTTGCCAATTCACCCAGCATACGATTTTTAATTTGCCTTTAAGTTATAATAGTAGAATTCTTACAGCAAAATATGAGTTAAAAACCAATTTTCAATATATATATATATATATATATATATATATATATAAAAAAAAAATTGAATTATTAAATAATTTAAATAAATTTAATTAAATTTAAAAATACAAATTTAATTAAATAATTCTTTGCACCATTGCTGCAAGGAATGAAATTTAAATTTAAACAAATTAAATTTTAATTTTAACAAACACATATAAAAGTAAAAAAGCAAATTTTAAAGCCACAATTTGCTTTTTTAATTTTTTTACTTATTTTTGGCTTTTAAAATTTGCTTTTTTACTTTTATATGTGTTTGTTAAAATTAAAATTTTAATTTGTTTAAATTTATATATTATATATATATATCGCATTAACCGTAGCTCACAGTTCTGTACAATTAATGATATACTAACTGAAGTATTGCAGCAATAAATAAGGAAAATGTGGGCTATCATTAATTTTTTAAACTAACTCTCCCTTAACTGCAAAATTTTTTGGATGTACTGTTGCCACAATGCATTTATTATCCACATTTTTGAGGAAGTATTGCTACTGAAGATAGGAAATAAATGATGGTTCTAATCTGGTAGTACGATAGTTCCATTTCATATACCACGAACTTTTAATGATAAGGATATTTTTTTTTTTTTAATTTCACGACACAATAATCTAAAGCAAGTCTCTTTCTTTCTAATTCCAAAAATCATTTGACCAACCCGAACTGCTTGCGCAGATGATATTTGCAGTGGCAGAAAAACTTTTGCTAAAACCCTATATACTACACTGATTAATAATATTGATATTAAATATTTTAGCAAAGCTTACAGAAGTCACAACAACAACAAAACAAAACAAAAAAATTTAAATTAAAAAAAATATATCTGAAAGATTTTAAATTACGTCCAAAGGCGCTTTTTTTAACGTTTTGTGTGTTACCTTTATTTATTAAATATGTTCTTTCCACTTAAACCATAAGTTTCAGTTCAATAGCAATGTCACAAAATAATTTTAAAATGAGCATATCTTTAGAATTTCCGATACACAGTTTCGTGCGCTGAAGATTAAAAGGTTCCCCCCTCCCCCGTAGAGTGTTGCCATTGCTCGCTTTTAAATCGTTGAGTTTACTAAAAAATTCATTAAAGTTTTAAAAATATGAAATTGGTAATAAAACAAATTTTAAATTTGGTCTTCCACATACCCATGTTTTTCATTCATTACGCATTCAAAATTTGATGGCTCCTGGGAGATTTTTCATTAATTTCTTCAAATATAATGCAGGTCTCTAACATTTGGTGGGGACAGATTGAAATGTGATGTGCCGTTTATAGTGATTCAACGCAAAATCGCAAAACGAAAACAATAGTCTTTCAGGGACAAAGCCCCTTTGGACTAATAATTAGCAGCAGCACATTGAAATTAGGCAATCTTAAGTTGCTGTGTAAATATTATTTAAAATAAAAGATTTAGCAAGAGAAATATTTTCAAGAGTGAATAGTTTTTATATGTTGAGGTATATAATATATGAAAGCAGTTTAAAAGATAAACAGATAATGGAAAAATATTTAAAAAAGGAAAAATGGTCTTTATATTTTTCTATTCTCACAAAAGAAAAGTACAAATAAATTACTTACCCTAGTAAAGTCACTGTTATAGAAACCATCTGCCAATCCACAGTAGAAAGCCAAAGGTATCAGCAATATTTGATTTGTATTCTTCATTTGTTTAAAAGTTGCGAACAGAATAAGAGGATGTTTTGATTTATTGTTCTTCTCGTCCAAAGAATCAACTATAAATATGACAACAAGAGCTGCAACAATGACTAAAGTGAAATAGATAGCTGTAAGTGTGTACCATTTTGCATCCGAAGGAGGTTGTAAGTTAGGATTTGTTGCAACTTCGAGAATTTCTCCGCAGAAAGTGGCACCACACTGAAAAATAGTTTTGTTGGAGATATCGTTTGTGATGTTATTTGTTTTCTTTACTTCCTCATTTCCGTATTCTATTCCATCGTATATATATTTCGTTTCACTATTTGAATGTAGTGTTTCATTATTCATAAATTTTCCTTCTATATACTGATTGCTCAAGACATAGTACGATATTAAATTTCCACAGATTTCTGCATTTTCGTGGAAAAAAGAAAATATTCCAAAAAACCAAGCACTGATCACGCTTATTGAGGCATGTGAGAAAGTGGAGTAGTTGTAACAAAGTTCATTTATATATGTGCTTCTAGCAGTCCAGTATGGTCCATAGGCCATTCCAGTAAGCATAGCCGTTGGTATAAGTGTTCCCCAACAAGGATACATGTTTGCTGCAACATATGGAGCAACACTGAAAATTGATATAACTAAAGTTTTTTTGCATCCAAATCTCTTTATGAGGTATGGTGGCAAAAAGAAAGCAGATAAGGTGAAAAAAGCATAAATAGTTGCTTGAGAAGCCACGCCTATACCTTCTTTTTCATTTACTGTACTCTGTAAGTTACTCAAAGAATCAAAAGCTGTCATCACTAGGAAATGACCAAATGCTAAAGAGAGAAGATTTTTCAGAATGCAATATTTTTCTGACATATTTAGCTTTTGATTGATCCAGTTGCATGCCATGCTGAAAAAATTGCTTGCGTGGTTGGTACCATTAAGAATGATATATGAAAAGTTTAATTACCGAGATAGTACCTCATTCTGGATGCTCATAACTAAATTCAAATCACTCCAGTGATAATATGGTGTTATAATGTGCGGCTTCATCATATATATTAATTCATATTTCACTAAGATAAATGAAGTTCTAATTTCAAGCTTGGCAAAAATGTAAGTGGAAGTTTTAAACACATGTTGCAATTGTTTGTGATGAATATCTGCAAGAAAAAGAATTAAAATTAAATACACCATTTTAAAATTAGTGTTTAATTAGTCGGTTAGCTAAATCTTATATCCTAAGAATTATAGTTTTTTATGTAATGTTTTTATTCATATATTCGTATTCGGTTCTCATTTCCCAAAACTAAAAGATAGTTATTTCAAAATAGTTTATAGTATACGTAGGAATATTTAATCATCACATCATAAAAAAAAGGGAAAACCAGTTAGTATATATCTTTTAGCATTCCTGGTAGGATTTTTTTTAATTCCAGAATCCCAAAAAGCTGAATTTTTGGGCACTGTCCGGAAATTGTCATGAAATTGATAAAACCAAAAAAAGGTTTCTTAAGGTTAGGTTGGATTAATTGATTAAAACAAAACAATGCGAGGACTAATTTCCTATAAAAGGGACGCCTTCGTGAAGGACTTTACAAGGAAATTAGCTCGTATCCACGTTACGCATTCGTAAAACCATGAAAAATCCTTTGCAGCCAGCCCAACTGCGGGAATTCAAACCCGCGTCGAACTACTAGCGGTTAGAGACGCCTGACTGCTAGTGGGCCTTTTTTTAAGGAAGAGAATCTATTTCAGATCCGAATATATTGGTAGAACTTAATAGTCTATTCGACTGAACTGTAAAATACTTTGTTTATACTCTTATGATTGGATTATCCTCTTCCCCCTCCCAAAAAAAATTTGAAAGATTTCAGGTTTTATATTATGCCCAAAGAGCGCATCTTTTTTAACGTTTTATGTGTTACACTTATGTGCTAAATACCATGTTCTTCGCACTTACACCATAAAATTCAATTCAACAGCAATATCACAAAATATTTAAAAGAGCATATCCTTAGAATTTCAGATACACAGCCCTGTGAGCTGGATATATATATACATATTACAGTGTTGCTATTGCTCACTTTATTGAGTTTCTTAATCGAAAACTCATAAATGCTTTACAAAATATGAAATAGATAATAAAACAAACTCCAATTTGGGCTTCTAGATGCCCATATAGGGATGGTATTCAAAATTTGATGGCTCTAGGTACCGTTGTTTTATCACAATGTGAGAAACATACATACATTTATGGAGATTCTTCATTATTTAATTTCTTTAAATATAATACAGGGCTCTGATATTTGGTGGCAACAATTTAAAAAGTGATTTGTCATTTATAGTAAATCAACACAAAATGAATTTAATAGCCCTTTTGGGCAAATTGCCCGTTTGGACTATAAAAAAAAAAAAAAAAAAAAAAAAAAAAAACCTTTTACGATAATAGTTTCTAAGATCTGCAGCCGCTAAACTGAATGTTCAACCGTCAGAAAGTTAGTTCTAGTTTCTTTCATAAAAATTTTTCACTGTGTTATCGCTCTGTCCATGTCTGTTATACTAATTAGTGAAATCGAGACTGCAACCCACTTAAGTCACTGATCACAATTTCATGGCCCCAAAGGACGGATCTGATTGTCAGTTGATGCAAAATCTCTCTAATAATATACTATTTAGAAGACTGAAATACCATATTACTGTACTTGTGCGAACTGTATATAATGATTTGTGAATTCTAATTTGAGAATTTAGCCGTTTGCACGAAATTTGTCTGTCTCAACTAAATTCAAGTTTTGTAGCGTATGCCACTGCATATGAACACGAAGATCTCACTGCTTTTATACCAGAAACTTGTGTCTTGCATGCTTTCAAAATGCCCTTTTCACCTAGTTTATCATATATATATATATTACACAACTTTAGCTGTAAGCAAACTACTCTACTAGCCAATGGGAGGTATTAAACATAACGATAAATGTTCTAATGAATAAAATTGTTGATCAGCTTCCACGTTGATTCGGCAATGCTTATTTAAACTATTTAAACTAAATGTAAAAAAGAGCCTCATTCACAAGACAGTGTATTTCTAAGGTTTCTTCTTAAAATCATTCTTTTGAGTCTGATTAATATATTAAGTAAATACCCATAAGCAATATAACTCTAAAATCGATGTAAGCATACTTAGTATAGCGTGGAAAAAATGCCGATGCAGGTGAAAATGAGCCATGGGCCAAGTATGTTTCTGTGGTAACAACGAGTTTGAATCCGATGGCTATGTTACCGTGAAAGACCGAAATTAGAGAATGTCGACTTTCACCGGAGAATGTCAACATTCACCAAAAACGTCGGTGAAAGATCGAATATTTCTTTACATTCTTGTACATTCGGACCCTCACCGGTGTATGTCGGCAATCACAGATATGCTCTGGTGTAGGTCGAAAAGAGAGGAGTGTATGTACACGCTGCCATTCCAAAAAGAAGTGTTCCACAAATAAATGCAGTTGTAAAAGCAAGGGCCTCTTGTGCAATTCAAAGTGTCATAATAGTTTAAGTTGTTGCAATAAATAAGATTTGAATCACATAATTTGGTAAGTTTATAACTTCTATTATTTTCCTTTCTCATTTTGAATGTACTGTGTGTTTTAAGTTCTTATGTTCTTATTTTGTCTCAAGTGCTTTTTTTTTCGAATGAATTACGGAGAAGGAAATATAATATTCTTATATGTTCAACATTCACCATTAGTACATGGTGAATGTCGACATTCACTGGTGTAAGTAAGAAATAAGAGTATTTGGAAAATATTTCGGACATACACCAAGCGACTATGTGAATGTTGACATTCACCGGTGAAAATTGACATTCTCCAGATTTCGGTGTTTCACCGTAACAGCTATACAGCATACATTGTACTGGAATGAAGATTCTCCTTGTCTTATAGATCTAATACAGCAGATCACATCCGCTGTTAGCGTGATGTTTTCATTACACATTTGGTTTTTCACAATGTGATGGTTGTAATACATGTGTTTTTGTATATCTTTGCTTGATTGTTTGCTCTTGTGGTCTAGTAATACCACACCAACCTCTTGGATCAGTTTCACACATATTAATTAAATAGTTTTATTCCGTGTTTTGTCTTTGTTGCTTATATTTTGAGCAGGAGTGTACAATCCGTAAACCTTGTGAAATCAGTTTAAAAAAAAAAAAAAAAAAAAAAAAAAAAAAAAAAAAAATTAGGGCTGAATGGATAGTGTTTGTGATGCCTCACTTCGCAATTGTCTTCTAAGAGAAGAGTCAGTAGACTATTACATCATGGGTTCGCTCAATGCACACTACACACAAATGTTTCTTTGTTATAAGTTCACTGCTTTGGAATGATGCAAATTAAGTATGTACCTTTGCAAGGTGATGTATCACCTTTTTTTTAAACTTTTTGCCGTTTTTGTCCTTCCTCTTTGTAATGCCCTTGCACCTGTATTAACTATACACCTACATTAACTACAGGTACTATTTCATTGTCCTTTATGTATTTTTTACTGTCCCAGTAACATTCTCATACAAAAACGTGGGTATTGTTATTCGAATTTTCGATATTGATTCGATAAAATCGTAATCCCCTTTGTTATTATTGACGTCACTCTCAAGTTCTTACGTTATATCTAAAATTTCATTTTGATTCGTTGAACCACGCGGTTTGTAGATGCCTCTGTTTAAATGATGTTACTATATGATCATTCTAGACAATCGCCTTGCATGGCTTGCGATGCTCATTTATACATTATTGCGCACACATTACTGACTACACACTACTACTAATGTATGCGCATACATTACTGACCATTTTTATGCATAGTTTAGAAACAAAACGGCATCAATTAAACTGGTAATTATACAAGTCTTTTTAGTTTAGACACAACCTTGCTTCCTCAGCGTAATTTTGGTATCGATGTTTATGTCTGATCTTAGTGACCTTTTTGGTGATCAAGTTATCTCATTGCGTATTATTTTTTTTCTTTCTTACCAAGACAGATAAGCAAGAACTCCACTAAAACAATTTTACGTAATTATTTGAAAATCTGAAGCTATATTCTTGTAGGTATTCTTGGGAAACTTTAAAGCGTCTATTTCAGAAGGATATAGCTCCTAACTTTTAAAAATTATGAATGAGGCTAGTAAACTTGTAATTTATGCCAATCTATTGCCAAATTATTGGAGTGAAATTTTGTTAAGATATCTAAACGAGTTCCTTAGCATATTCGATCATTCCTGCTATTTCCAGAAAATATAGAAGCAATACTTTGGTGCATTTGTAATTTAAAAAATATAAGATTTCTGTTATTAAGAATTCTAAAAATAAACAAGCCGTATATTTTTTACAGTGCAGTTTTAGCATTTTTAACGATAATACATTTTGTAATTTTTCCCGCATTTTAAATGATGTTTAGACATAAAATGTTGACGGAAATACAGCGAAAATGTAATTTATATCAAAGTGTTAGCACTCTGTTATTCTATGTTGATGGATAAGATTATGTATGCATCCGATGGCGTTGCGAGGGGGGTACAAGGGGTGTATGATGCCCGTGCGCCGCTCGCAGAGGGGCTCCAAATGGGTCTCCAAACAAGATTTTCATCATATCACTGTGTTTTTTTCGGGGGGGGGAGGGGCGCCAAAAAGGTATTTTGCCCCATGCGCCAGTTATGCTAGCTACTCCACTGTATGCATCTGAACAACGTCAGTGTTCGCTCTGATAAAGATATTTTAGTTCCACTGATGCGGCTGTAGTATTTACTTGTATTCTGCCAATTTTAAAGCACATACTGTAAGGCCGTTCCTAGGCCACTGGCTGCCCTCGTACTTTCCTAGAATTGCCGCCCCTAGGCCATTGGCAGCCCGCGTACTTTCCTGGGATTGCCACCCCCCAAATTAAAAAAAAATAATGCTCAATGATTAAATAAATTTTTATTTTATATTCACTAAGTACATACATATGACAAGTACTTGCAATGAATTAAAAATATTTAGTCGTTATGAGAGTCCGGCCGCCCGCGTATTTTTACTCGCTGCACCCTCGCTAGGAACGACCGTGATGTAGTGACTAAGGTAACGGTTTACCTTTCCGTAAAAGGGCTCCGCGTACCTCACGGGCTTATGGATGACTCTAAAAAATGAATTGAATTAAAGAATAAGAAACGCGAAGTAAAATCAAAATAATAAATTTACAAATTGTATTCTGGAGTTCAAAATTGGTCAAGCTGAATGTCGCGTCTTTTTGAGACGATGCTTGGCCATTTCTTGGAAGTGATCATTCGAAAAGCTTCTCGATCCTTCGAGAATTCCTGGAAACCACTTAAAAGGTAGGCCCTATAACTGCAGATGCCTAGTCGATTTATTCATTTCGGTGTGAATATTCATAGCGATAGTACAATGACTTGTTAGCAATTCTTCCACCAGTTTGCTGCGTTTTTGATTTCATTATGAGGTTTGATTATGTAGCTGATAAGTGTGTTATTTAATAAAATAATAAACTACATAAAAGCCTGGGCTCTCACACGAAAACTTTATTATTAACATGTGCTGGATATGGGATGCCATCGTAAGCCCCTTCCGCTGCACAAACGTAAGATTATATCCAGAAAAAGCGTTGATATACTTGATGAAACTGCATGAACTTGCAGTAGCATTTTTAATAGCCCATGATTCTGTATTAAAGAGGATTTAAAATGAATAAAATAACATATTTGCAGAAATTTTAAGCAAAATTAACAAAATGAATCTGCTAGGAGAAAATGCAGCAGTTTTTAATTCACACGCAAAAGCGTATTCTTTGAAGAGGAAGCTTGTGTACTGATTAAGAGTTCGTGGAAAAGGAAGATAATGAATGCATCTCTCTTTCAAAAAATTTTTGTGAAAAAATGATGTCAAGATGCAAGAAAAAACGCAGAAAATTATTCAGGCGCAAGTCGTAAGTTTTGAACGACTCGTTTGAACTTTACTTCCGGACAGCAGATGAGAAGGTGCTTGAATAACTTTGAATGGATACTGAATGTGTTCAGCGTGAACAAAAAAAAAAAAAAAAAAAAACTATCTAGTTTAATAGAATACGTAGTGCTTGTAGAACTGGCATGTCGCACCGAACCAAAAATCAAAATCAAAATTTGCTGGAGCATGGCTACATACAAGAATTTCAAATTTTGTCTGTATCAATATCGAAAGTGACTGCTGTGGCTGATGTGCATAGCTTAAATCAGGATAGTAGACTTGAATGCTTAACATAATTTTTCTGTTGTAAAAGCAACATTCTTTTCTTCCTCTAGCAATTCAAAGTTAAAGAATTATTTTTCTGCAGTCATTGCATAAAATAAAGGCAAGATGATGTGTACCTTTTCATGTTTTTCATTTCTTATACGAAGTAAACGAATATTGTAATGACGAAAAATTTCGGGTAACTTATTTCAAATACCCATTTTGACGCTATCGAATGCAATTAAGCGATGTTTTTGCGTGACATCTGTACGTAAGTGCAGAATAAAGGACTCTTTTTCTCAGAATGGATTCAGAAGAGATTTTTTTTCATGACGTCTGTACCTACGTATGTAATTCAAAAACGAGTAGCCTCAGAACTTTGAAATTTTGTATATGGGGCTGCTATATAATTGTGCACCTCTCTTTTTAGTTCAAATCGACCGCAACAAAAATATGTAAAACAGACAGAATATATTATTTTCACTCTAAAATATATGTATATTTTCACTCTAAAATATATGTAGATTTGAAATATGTAATAAACAAAATACGCAATTTTTGAACCTATTTTGACAAAAAAAAGTATGCAGTGAGAGGGTTAATTTGCATGCAAAAGTTCTAGAATTATCAACAGTTTAAAAGTTGCTTAAGTGCGACTAAGCCTAGTAGAGCATCCACATTTTTTACAAGCAGAATAGTGAATTAAGTCAGTTTCTGCAAATTCAGTGTCTTTTTGCCGAATGGACCAAAAGCAAACTTTCAGTTTTGTGCACCAAAAAATCTGCCTTCTTATCCGCTGCCCGAATTGCTTGTTTTTAAGCATAAATTCTAATTTTAATTTTAAAAAACTATTTTAATAGTATTTTTGTTTCTTTATATTTTTCAATTTTTAATGAAGATGTTTTGAGTTTTTGTGTATTTTTGCCGTGCCGCGAAGTGAGAACTGAATTAATTGAATGAGAAATATATCTCTAGTGAAATTCGTGGAAATAAGTTTAAATGAAATACAGCAAAAAAAGTGTATAATGTAATAGGTCATAGAAGGAAGTCATGTGGCGTCTACATCAGATTTTTTACAAAAAATTGAAATCGTTTTTCGGTTTATTTTTTTAAGAAAGGTATTTATATACGTCTTTTGTAAAAGCGAACTTTTTTAAAGCCGAATGTTTCTTGTATAAGCCACTCTTCAAGCGAAAATAATATTACGTTTCCTAGTTAATGCTTCTCTTTGACAAGATGCATATTTTGTTTTATATAAACTTATCATTAACTAGAAAGGAGGGTTTGAACATAGATTTGCAATCTCTTATAGTTGATGATGCAGTAACCGAACACCTGCGATCTATAAATACAGTGATTTGGATTTTTAAGTATTATTTTCATTTTTTTTAAAATTACGATTCATTTTATTATTTTCCTTCTTCTCGGTATTTTTGTTATACCAACACTGATCTTATTTAATGGGTAATGTAGTTTGTCAGATTGTGGTCTTCCGATCATGGAATACTCATACCGGTATACATCAAAAATGATGATATTGAAGTTCTCAGAAATTTTGCTTTCCTCTACAATCCCTAGAAAAACCTAAAAAGTTTATACACTATTAATGTAGCAATAACAACTAATGCTGTTTCTACAAAAACGTTTTCTTCATCCTTAAGACTAAGTGGAAATAGTAGACTAAATACTCCAAATAGCGAAAATTTGGAGCAGTCGTTATCAAAATAAAATGAATTGATAGGTTTCTAATAAATATGCTCTAGCATTTCATATATAGCCTTTCAGAATGGTATGAAGAGCGTAACGTGATTTCAATAATTTCGCGATATACTAATTTGCCGTGGTAGAACGTTTGGGAAAATATTAAATGAAGCCACTGGCATATTTTTAGCTACTAAATGGAGAAATATTGCAATATAAAAATAATGTAAGCAACATTGTCTTAAACTGCATTTGTGAACATTCTGCAACCCTTGATGCAGACGACGTGCAATAACTCTTGTACTTGTGTAAGGTAATTCATGCACAGTGTTCAAGATGGATTCTTCAATGCGAGGTTGTCGTGCACTTCTTCCACTCCCTAGTATCAGAGGTGGCTCCAATGACCCGTTTTCACACAGAGACCGATACAACTTCTCGAACATTGTGTGCTTCGGCATACGCCTGTTCAGAAACTGTTCCTTGTACAACCGCAGCGCTGCTCTGCCAATTCCCATTAGCAGCACCATACATGAGATGCATGCCAGCTTTTTCCCTGTGCGTATAATCCCTGTGCGAAAACAAACCTATAATATGGTGAAATATATATGTTTTCGTTAAAAAACTCTCATTCATAAAATGTTAAATTACTAGGCTGTTCCATAAAATACGTTCTGTTATTTCCGTGACTGTTATCTGCTATTTTGTAAAGAAAGTTAAAGAGTTGTTTCCGTGAGAGGTCTAATTTTATAAATCGGTTCGTGATCAAACCCGTTTGAATCGAACATTAATCGTCTTGCCAACGGTTGATTAATGTTGTTATTAATGTTAATATTTGCTACCTGATGACATTTTCTTTTTGTTATATGCAGTATAAAATTAATTTTAATGCGATTTAAATTTAGAGTCTACCAGCGGCCGAGTGGTAAAGCCGCTGAACTCTAATAGTTCTATCCGAGGTTCGAGGGCGTTTTCGTAGTTTTTTACATGTGTAACGTGTGTGCGAGCTAGTTTCCCTTAGAAAGTCCTCCACGAAAGCATCCCTTCTTTTGGCAGGTAGGCTTCGATTGCTTTGTCGTTATCAAACAAACCAAACGAAATGATTTTAAATTAATCGCATTCAGTTCTTCTAGTATAGCATGACAGACATGACAAAATATTTTGAAAATTTTTCTTAAATTAGTATACGATGAAATATAAATAATGAAACTAAATTTAGTTATAATGCAAAATAAGTTCTGGAATTAAATTCATTTTCGTGCTGTTTTAGCATCAAAATATTGTAACATCTTGCTGCACTGCATATAAATTGGTACTTCTAAAGATACTGAAAATGTGATTATGGGTTTGATGTAACAGAACCTTGATACAATAAATATTTTAAATTGAATTCGAATCTCTGAAAGCAAATAAATGAATAAAATAATAACCGACTATTTTATATTTCAATTTTAATTAAATAGAAATTCAAATCATTATTATTTTTTTACTTCTTTTAGTGGGGTTTTATAATTTAAGTTATTGCATGTACTGTTTTTAATGCGATTCACCTCAATCTATCGCAATTTTAATAAACGATAATTTTAAGAATATAATCAGCAATTAAATAATTGTCTTTTTTCTCTGCTTCGAAATCATACAAGCCATCCTCAAAATATGCACTTAGAGATAATTTGAATTTAGTATTTATCATCCGGAAAAAGGACTACTATATGTAGTCCACACGAATGAGAAATCTGAATTCTTTGAGCCACTTATCACTGTAGGAAAGAAATTTTATTACATTTTCTAAGATTATACAGACAACCAAAACTAATTTTTTGATACTCTCAATTTGTTTAAACATTTGGTAATTTGCAGTAAGTGTTATTTACGTTTACAACATCAAGTAATCAAATCAGTACACATGATTGATAAATTAATAATGTGAATAAATATAAATCTGAATCTAAATAAATTTAGCGTTTTATAATCTTAATAAAAAGTCTTTTGAAAAATTTGGCTACCTTACCTTTTCAGTTCTTTAAATAAGCAACTATTCCATGAACCGAATTTCAGGGCCCAAAAGTGCTAATGACAGCTTTTGGAGAGATTAGATTCTTCTGATTTCGCAACAGATAGCAGGAATATGTTTATGTTCAAAGAACTCTGTTCGTATCAAACTATTAGTTTCTTCTTTCGTCTCTCCCTTTCGAATGAATGGAATGACTCATATAAATGAATCTTGGCATTCGAAACTGCCTCTAATTCCAAACTATGTATGGTCATTTTATATCTCATCCGGGCAATCGCACGAACTTCCCTTTTTTCCCACACTCTCGTCCAATCTTAAGAGCACGTGAGCTCTTAGCAAAGCTAAAAATGTTTTAAAATGATCGAGTTATTCCTCCGAAGTTAAAGCGGTCAGCTTCCATTCAGCTGACTTTGAGTATCATTTCTCATAATAATTTCATGAATGGTATTAAAAAATTTGCTTAGAAAATAAAGCAAAGAGAAAACACCACAGTTCTAAAACATCGTAGTACAAAATATCGTCGTCGAAAATAAAGTTTAAAACCATCGTTGTCGAAAATATCGTGCTTAAAAATAAAGTTGTATTATTCCCTACTGTGTAATTCTAAGTTACAGTTAAAAGTGAAGAATTTTAAGAACTAGTAGCGAAATAATCGCTTTCGTGGACAGTGAAAACTTGAGGGGTTAAAAGACCCTTTATTATCAAATAAGATTAAACAGAACTCCGTCTTGGAGTTGTACAATAAAGCCGAACTCGGACTTCAATTTAGAGACTAAGAATTAAACTAAACTATCTTTAACTAAAAAGATATAGCCGAACTATCAAAATTCTAATAGAGTTGGCCCCTTAACGCTCATTGACTGCGAAGCTATCAAGGGCTTAAAGTACGGCCGAGCGTAATAATAGCTTACGAGAGAGTAGCCTAAAAAGGTGGACGCGTGCTAGCGAGAATATCTGGTATCTCTCTCACTAATACAATAGAACTTCGCGGTTAAATACCGCTCTTCCTCATTAGCATTCAGACGTGATTCTAAAACTACGTTCTGACCAGGAGTAGTAAGTTGGAAGTTAAGAAACGCTAGAAAAGATCCTTAAATAGTTTCTACAAATCATTGCATGGCGATAACATCGCAGTCATGCGCTTTTAAGGCTTTAATAATTGTAAATGGATATTCGTATAATGATTTGTGAGCACAAAACGGAAAGAAGGATAATTTTCATATTCATATTTTTTTATTAACTAATAATTTTCTTAAAAAACAAAAGAAATAATTTTCACTATAAGAGTATCATATTAACAAAAGTGAAGAAAATAATCTCATAATTAGCAATTTTTTTATAGATAAGGTCATGAAGTTACTTATTTTTTTATCTATTCTTTTTTAGATTATACTTTTCATGAAAAATTACCAGTAAACTTCATAAGGAATAATTTATTAATGACCTTAGTTAGTTAACTATGTCAGTTTAAAATTCTATTAAGTACTATGTTTCATTAATCGTCTATGCTTAAGTTTCCACTTCAGCAAATATTTATTAGTTAATAAAAAATATGAAAGTAAACATTATCCATCTTTACATCTTGCGCTCACAAATCATTATGCGAGTTTTTGAAATCATTAAACAATTATTAAATTTTACAATTATTAAAGCCTGAAAAACGTATGTCTGCGATGTTATCGTCATGCGATGATATGTAGGGTCCTTTATTTTTTTAACCACGATATTCGTCGACGATGTTTAAAAGGCAATGTTTAAACCGCTTTGTTTTTTCGGCGACGATGTTTTTAGACTGCGACGTTTTCCCTTGCTTATTTTCTCCTACGAGTTTTGTACAAACGTTTTCGCCTTGTCGCATGTTTTCTTTTCTGCTTTGATTAAGCGTTCGTGTTTTCTTACGATTTGAGCTACTAGTACATAGTGACTCAATGATGCGACTTAATCCGGCATTTTAAAAAACAGTAATTTTATTACTATACGATATCCAAATTATTATTTTCGAAAATAAATAAGCATCATTTTCATAACTTACCACATTTTTCTTAAGCTTTTTATCACAAGAAAATGAATTTTGGGACTTTCCCCAGAAAATGTATGCACGATTATCAACAGCATTAAAACTGGCAGCCGTAGGTACATTTGTGTGAATTTTTTTGTAATCAGACTTAGCATTTTCGAAGCATGGAGGCAAGGTATTTCTTTTGTCTTGCGTCAGTAAACTCGACGCTTCACGGCATTCAGTTTCCCGCGAGATGCGCCATGTAATCAACTTGCATTTGACTATGGCGGCCCGAAGAGGAACACAAAGCATCCGGTGTTTCAGTGGTAGAATGCTCGTCTGACACGCAGACGGCCCGGGTTCGATTTCCGGCCGATGCACCATGTAATCAACCTGCATTTAACTATGGCGGCCCAAAGAAGAGCCCGGTGGTTCATTTTCTAACACTATTTATTATCCGTTTATATACATATTTACAATTGTCCTATTGTTAGGCGGACAGCCTTCACAGAAATCAATGTTGCCTAATCATACTTCATATCATACATAAAACCTATCATATACCTAATCATATAATCACATATACCTAATCATATATAATAATACTTCGTGGAATAACGATACTTCGTTTCTACCTAACATGCATTGCGCTGCTGCCAAGCACCACCCTGTACTTTTCTCTTTTCAACAAATGACATGAATTAGCCAATTTATAACGTTTAAAAGTGTTTCATTGTTCAAAATTGAAATTAAAACATAAAAAAAGAAAACTAGTAAAAAAATCAAATTCTCGGGATAGAACCATATGTAAATTGTCAGAAATCTAAAGTAAAATATTAAAATGATCTGAATTTAATCGATATCGAATCCAAACGCCATGCTAGAAAATACACGTAACTCCTTGGCATGCTATCAGTGAGATTATAAGGTATTTTCTTCCTCCTTCCAGCATGCCTCCGTGGAATAACGGTAGCACACTCGGCTCGTATTCGAGATGACCAGATTCGAGTCTTGGCAAGGCCATTGCACATTTTTGCGATAGCCTTCAAACAGTGTCTCAGATGTGGTCAATAGGAAATGCAGCCGGCTGAAGTAGCAAATCAAGTCCATGCAGGCCATGAAGGTAGCATGAGCAACATGCGCCTATCGTTGTTGTGCTGTAAGTGCTGTAAAACTGCTTTCATGACACTTTGTAGTAAAGAGCTTTATTACTGGCTCTATGACGAAATCATTAGAAAACCGAGCTGTCAGTATACTAACAGGTAAAGCTGAAGAGTCCATAATTACTCATTACGCTGCTGTGCGCAGTTATTCCAGCAGCAAAACTGATATGGCATTTTCTCATAAAGTCTTGCTGATGGCGTTGGATACATGACATCAGACATCACGCGCTTCTGAGGCGAATTGACATCACGGCATCTGGAGATTTTTGAGAACGAGACTTCGGCTAAAGAGGGTATAATCTTCCATCTAACTCAGTAGCTGCCATGCATTACACCCGATAAGCGGCAGCTTGGAATGAACATCTGTCATGATCATTGGCTGTTTATGTAAATTTTTACAATTTATTCAGAAAATGAAATTTCGTACTAATTACATTACAAGAAATTAATAATTTGTGTATAGTTATCCAGAAAGAAAAAAGATATTAGTTGATTTTTCGCAATTTGCTTAACACTAATTTTAAATATATAAGTTGTTCATTCTACTTTTGCGTTTTAAAAGTTTTACTATGACTAAAAATCATTCACGGGGAATTTATTTCGGAATAGAAGTATGATTTCTAGATCTTCCTAAGTTTCAATTAATATTCCTTACAAAGTTAATTTCAGTTTGAGATGCGTCATTCATAAATGGACCTTGAATCTTGTCAAAACTTATGATTAAAGCAGATATCTTCTCTCTAATTTCTGTGTAATATTAGTTTATTAATGTAATATTAGTCTGTAATAGTCTGTGTAATATTAGTTTATTAATGTAATATTAGTCTGTAATAGTCTGTGTAATATTAGTATATTATTTCTGTGTAATATTAGTTTCTTGTAATGTAATTAGTACGAAATTTCATTCTGAATAAATTGTAAAAATTTACATAATACAGCCAAATGATCAATGACAGATGTTTCATCAATTCCAAGCTGCCGCTTATCATGGTGTAATGCATGGCAGCTACGTGAGTTAGAATGGAAGATTATCCCCTCCCCTTTAGCCGTAAGTCTCGTTTAAATCTCAATAGTCTTTATCTAAAATATTTGCATTCTCAAAAATGGAAAGATTTTACGGAGCAGCAAATATCCATGACTGTGATGCACTTTTATATTAGAAGATATATCAAATAATATCATTTGATAATTTGGTATTTCTGGAACCTTTTTAACGGTGAAATCGGAAAACATTTTTGGAAATGTTCCGCTGCAATTCATTTGGCATTTGTTTGTGGAAACAAAATTTGAAATTTTCTATATAACACTGGATATTTATCTATACTGTCTTCAACATTTATTACAAACTACATAGCGTTTAATTCTGATTAATTTTATTTACACAGGTTACAGCGCTTGTTTCTGATTATTTTTATTTACACAGGCTACAGAAATTGTTACAAATATCGGTGCATTTAGCGCTAATTACCTTTATTTACACAGGCAGCAGCATTTATTAAAAATTTCATGATGTCTAGCAGTCAAATACAAGTTTAACACTTAACAACATATGTTAGGGGCTTCCAAAGAACTAGTCGAGAGACAATTTCTGGTGGGGCAAGAGGATTGAAGCATTATTTTTCTTATTGTGTAATTTAATATAATATATTAATTTGTAATCATGAATAAATTTATAAATACGGATTACATTTTAATAATAATGTATAGTTATTAATTATTACATTATTAGTAAATAGTGCTTTTTTCTAGAAATATTTTCTCCTCATTTTAGCCAAAGCAATTTAGTGCATGTGAGTTGCGTTGATTCGCAACGATATATATGTGACACTAAAAGCGTGTGGGAACCACTGATGCATAATGAGATACTTATAAATGATATCACTTTTGTTATCCAGTATGTATTTTAAATCATCATTCATTATTTTTTAAACTATAAGAAGTTTCTGATTTCCAGATTATTCGTAATTCTAGCACTATGTAGCATATCAGTCCAATACTTAATATAACTAGTGGAATGATAATTTTGACATGAGTGCAAAGATACGGGCTATAGGCGTATGCCACAACGAATCCTAGGGCATTCATGAAGTAGAAACAGGAAAACGCAGCTTCTTCGCTTTTTTTGAAGAGAACACCGTAGAAACCTATAAAAGAAAAAAAAAAAAAAAAAAGTAAGTTCGCAATTGAAGAACATTTCTAACAACGTGCTGAACTTTACGTGAGAGTAACAAAATGTACGTATTTGACATTCGCAATTATCATAAAATTTCAGTATTATAATCTCTTGAAGACGATGAATTTGAAACAACTCTGCGGCGCATTGCAAAGAGCGAGAGACAGATTGCATGTTTTTGGAAACTAAACTATGTCTTGAGTTCACACTTCTTATAAAGGTAAGAGGTTTCGATACTTTTCTTTTTAATTAAAATCTAAAATTACTAAATTTTATAAAAAATACTTCCGCATATACGAAAACAAAGTCTATTTTACGTGCCATACGCAAGTTTGTTATAAGTTCTGCTTTTTGCTCATCTGTGCTAGTACAGTAAACTGGTTATCATTTTTGGCCTGTTTACTAGCCTGCAGAAATATGATCAGAAAAATGCCTTTCCATTAAAGCAGAACACTCATAGAACCTTAACCCAGATGAATGAATCAGCTTTTAATTATGTTACCCCACTGTCGTTTAAAGCACCCTAACATTTTCTTCATTATCTAAAACATGTGTCCAATCATCAGCCTTCAAAGTGTACTGTTTCATCAGCCTTCGAAGTCTGGGCCACAAACCGAAAACAGGAAGAAAGCATGAGATGTAGTAGAATGATTTTTGGATGATATGACTATCAGTTTAAATAACTGAATTTATTGATTATATTTAAAAGTGAATAGTCACTTTTAAATATAATCAATAAAAGTTATTTCAAATAATGAAAGCTAAAGAAATAAATTGAAATTATGACTTACGAACAGCAATTCAATTTGCTGTACTTGTATAAAATCAAACAAACAGGGTAAACGTAAAATATACTACAGTATTTTCCATTTTATACTGACATTGAAAAGATATTCCAAAATTTCAGCAAACACTAACTTTATTTTAATATATTTGCTAATTCATTTTCAGCTGATATCGGACTTATCTGAAAACATGCATTGTATAAATTTTAAATCAGATATGTGACTTGAAAAAATATATAACTAAACTTTTGTAAGTTGAATACTAAATGAATTTTTACAGTATTTCGCGAGTATTCTGCGTTCTTTCCAAACTTCTTTATATTGTGTAAGATAAAAAAATCTGAAAAAGCAAACTTCTAAATTTAATATATATATGCAAGATAAAAAAATATGATAGCATTCTAAATTTAATTCACTATAACTTCTTTTATTTTCTATTTCATTTGGAAACTTCATCTATCTGTCCTAAAAATAGCGTTGTAAGTCTGAACTGCGTCATTCAAATTAATCATGCGATCTTACGTAACCCTTAATGCAGATGCCTCTTAACCAATCACCAAATTGCAAACCAAAACTTTTCGCATTCTTCACAAACAAGGAGGTTAGAACACATGGAGATGCCGTCTCTGCTATTGCAGTACGAAGAAAGTGAAGCCAGGGGGAAGGAAATAAGCCACGCCACGTGAAGGCAAGAATTAGTAAGCGAAGCGAGGTAAAACGCCAGCTGGTTTCAAGTTCTCAGTGTGTTTTCTGATTTTGTATGCGTAGATCTGAAATGCCTAAAAGGCACTGAATTGTTACAGCGAAATAATGTCTACATTTCCGACTTCATGTCCATGTAAAAGAATGTTTTAGAACGTGCATATACAAATAGAATAATCGAAACTTGTGTTTCAATGGCCTTCAAGAAAGAGTTTGATTCTTTGTGTAAAGTACACGAAGAAACATATATAGTTCTCAGATTTACCTTTTCATAATAATAATAAAAGCGGTACTCGTAATTAACTTATATGTGATGGCAAAACGATAAGTAAACAAGGGGAGGGGGAGTATAGCTCTCCATGAAAAAGAAAACAGTTTTATAGCTCTAAATGAAAAAGAAAACAGTTTACTTTAATGTCTGATCATAATTACATTACAGATCTTACCTTTTATGTGTTTAACTACATTTTATTTTGTGCTCAAGTAGATATATAATAACTGGAATTGATTTTTAGTCATATTTGTTGTGTGAGTTTTAAAATAACAACGTAAAGTTTACATATTTCTATCATTGTTTATTCAAATTAAGTTTTTTCGAAACACAAGTAATATTTATAACATGAAAAAGTTGAGAATTATATATACATAGAATAAGTAAATTATAATCAAATAATAGTTTGAGTACATAGTTACTGTTCTGTACATAGTTACATGTACTGTACTGTACATAGTTACACAATACTTTTAATGCTAGCATTCATTAATTACAAGATGCAATTACATAATGTAGAAATTATTGCAATTACATAATGTAGAAATAAAATGAAATGGCGAGAAAAGTAAGGGAAAGAGGACATGAAGAATCTGCGATCCTTTACGACTACCAGGAACAAAATTGGGTGTGGTTAGAGCACGTCAATCTTTCTAAGCCACGACTACAAAGGGCATGCTTCCCCCCTTTTTTGGCTTCACTTGGATTGCGTGGAGGGCATCTCCATGAGTTCTAACCTCCTTGTTCACAAAGTACAGCAGGGCCACAGTGCGGCGCGCATGCGCAATACGATCTGCGACCAATATGAGGGTTGTACCAGTTTGGCGATGATTTTGTTCATCTTCACAGAAGTAACAAAGCGGTGTTTTGGCGGTGAATTTCGCGTATATGATAGCAAAAGAATGAACTTAAAACATCTGAAATCAAAAGTAAACTGGAATCACAGCAAGACTATTCATCAACAATATTAATAAATTGCATCCTTGTAAAGGAGTTAAACATAAAATCTAAACAATTCAAAATAAATATGATTATATAGTAGTAGAAACTCGAAAACTAAAAATGCGAAAAGGCAAAATATATACAAGATCATAAAAATATAAAAATTAATCTTCCTTTATTGAAACTCCAATTCTGAACTCATCAGGACAATTTTTGGGTAGTCAGTCAGACTATTAAGGTCACCCCTTGTATTAATATAAATTGTTCTTTCTCGTAATTTGATTTTTTGGATTTATTTTTGGAAAAAATATTGTGTTATTTTATAAGAAAAGTAGCACAAAATTGCCTTTCTCCTTTCTTAATTAAAAAGATTTATTTTCAGCTGCTGCTTCGTGTATAATTTCTTCTCTAATACATTTTATTGCATATTTTCGTACTTTTAATTAAGAGCATTCTTTACATTGTTTAATATTTATATAATGATCTAACTTTAGGAGTTATATTCTGCAAGCATTATAAACCTCTTTACATTTGTGATTTGGAGAGGGTGGGAAAATTTGAAAGTTTTCTCATTTGATGTGTATAAGAGCAATTTAAAAGGAAACAAATCCTGTTGAAAATAGTAAATATTATTAACAGGTAGACAATCGGGAATGGTTTTGTATTTGAGATAAAGCATGAATAATTGTAACTGTATTAGTACTTTTGTAAAACTGGAGCACATAAAATCTTCCGATACAAAAGTTTCTCAAGAGCTTTGGTTTGGTTTGGTTTATTAGATTACGTCAAAGCACTCGAGGGCCATCTGCCTAAGGGGAGGGATGCCTTCGTGAAGGACTTTCTAAAGGAAACTGGCTCGTATGCACGTTACGCATGGGGAAAACCACGAAAACACCCATGCAGTCAGTCCGTTCGCGGGATTCGAATAATATTGATACGAATAAATTTCTTCGGAAAAAGTACAAACATAGCCTTCCATCTATTGCTTTTCTAAAAGCGACATTCTGCATGAAAAGAAAACTGTCAGTTTATACTTTCAAAAATGTACCTGCAGTTAAAAAAATAATTTTCGAACAGATAATTTTTCTATAGCAAAGCAAAATCATCTAAAAATTGTGCAAACAGCCTATGTATTTTAACACACTATCAAACTATGATAGAGAAAATTTTTGCATCATTTGACTAATTTAAAATCTCGTTGAAAAGGTTATGGCTGATGTTTATTAATTTATTTGGTGTTTATTAAGAAATAACAAAATTTAGACTTAAAAAATTTTGGAATACTATCAAAGAAAGTTTTAAATTAATTATCTTATGAAACACTGAAAAATATTTAAACTATTTCTTTTATACAGAATTGAAACTAAATTACTAATCAGTTCTTTTTTTTTTTTTTTTTTTTTTTTTTTTTTTTTTGTTTTGTTTTGTTCTAGAACGACAAACTGAGCTTATGTGCAATGGTTTACTACAACAATGGTAGTTGCATAAGTAATTATGCACTCCCATAAATTTTCTATAATGCATTTCTGATCTTATGCTTCGTTTGATTAAGGTCAATCGCATCTAAGAATATTCAAATGAAAAAATGATTTCTTAGAAGCCTCATCATAATATATTATAAGGTATTTCTCCCGCCTTCTTAGCGTGCCTTCGTGGTATCCGTGTTTCAATTCCCGGCGAAGTTGTCATTTTTCATCTCTCCTGCTTTCAAAAAATACCTAATGTCTCTACAATAACAGCATGCAATATACGAGTATCACAGTGAAGGCTGATATTAGGTAAATACCCACGGGGGAGGAGAAGAAAAGAAGAATATTATTAAATTATTTATTGTTTAACAGTCGAAAATTACTATTACCGTTTCAGATGTTCATGTTATTACGGTTCAGATTTCGTTAGTGTAAGAGTTATGTAAATATTTTCAGGAATTCGAAATTCAAGCTCCTGATTTCAAAAGTAATTTATTCATACACTGACATTCTACCAGCGTCATAATGCATGTCAGCGTTACTGAGCATGTCTCTTTAGCTTTCGATGGTCCATATTTTGGACATCAAATTTTACACAGTGTCTGAGCAAAGGAAGTTTGACTGTCGCATCATCTGCATGATTCTGGCGATCCTGCCAGAAGTGCCAAATTTAATTTTATGCCGGAATGTACATAATTCGGAATAATTTAACTTTAATTCACTCAATTCCTAACTTTGGTTTATTTCCAAGAACTGGCGACTGACATTCCTAAGGACTTATGCTTGTGGTATTCAAATTATGGGTCGCGACCCTATTTGGGGTAGCAAGGTAGATAAAATTCCTAAAAATTCTGAATTGAGGATGTAAAAATAAGGTTCGACGCTGTGACTGGAGTCGCGAAATGTGTTTTGGGGTGTTTGCATTTTTAGGGAATAGCAGCGCTATAAAATTTGAATACCACTGGCTTACACGATTATGATTTAATTCAATTCTAGTGCATTCATTTCCACAGGAATTAGTAAACTCTTATTGATTTGATTTCAGCAGATTGAAGGATGACGTTATAATTTTATTGCAGGTGCTGATGTTATAGATTAATACCTATACATCACATAAATAACCACCAAAATATACTACAATGTTCTATCCTATTTTACCATATTGACTTGAACATAGAATGCATTTTCATTTGAAATGCCTTTTTAAACTTTTATCCGTCGTATGAGCTCAGCCAAAAAATTTCATAAAGGTATTAAGATAATTTATCATTAATTTATTTATTTTGACATTAAAAGAAAAATTTAGTTACCTTAAGTTATAGTACTTAATATAATTTTCTCTCTTGTAGAATACTTTTACTGCATCAAACTTATTTTACTTTATAAACTTTATAAGCCTTTCCTTCCTTTCTAAAATAAATCCGAAAATTCCTGTTATATGTGAGGCAATTTTGGAATCAAGCTAGTATGGTATTCTTGTTGTTAGCCATAAACACATAAATGTTTCAAAACTTACCAACAAGTTGTGACAACCAAATTCCATTTCCTATTCCATGCACTCCTGCGATGAGAAAGAAGCCAATAGGCCTATCTGGATCGGGTTCCCAAAACGTTAAGGAGATGAACATTGAAAAATGGGCTGTAGCCGCCAGAATAAATACAGTCACTCGTCCTAAAATCATGACAGACGGTCCACTGGCGCTATCCACAAGGGCACTGACAACCCCGTAACAAATGGATACCACTCCTACATGTGGTACGCCCCATGCGCAAGCAACGTAAGCCTATAAAAAAAAGCTCATCATTATTTTATGAAGTATCACAATATCTGAAATAAGTTTTCTTTCTTTTTAGTGGGTTTTGAGATTCTGTTTTTATTAAGATAATGAAATGAATGACAGTTTGAAGTTGTGTGATCTGGTGAAGGAGATCACTTTATTTTCTTTCCAACAAAATGCGTGAAAGTAGCGAAAAGAAAACCTTAGATTCGGTAATTTTATTACAGCAGAAACATTCAGAAGTTTTCAGTTTTAGGAAGGATAACGCAGTAGAAATATTAACGAGATGAACTGGATTGTATCCACCTGGCACACACGAGGCAGTAATAACTCATGTAGTCAATGTTCCGATGGCTAAAAACCTATGGATTAGCAGTTTTGAACGGTCTTATTCACTACTAATGATACGCCGCAAGAAGTAATAAGTGAATAAAATCTAAAATATTTTCAAAGATTAAAATAAAAAGAGGGAGTTATAAAATTCGTCTTGCTTTGGACGAATGATCTTTTGGGAGCATAAATTAGTTCCAAACTCCTAACAGGCTTTAAGCGAATATCGCTGGGTCTGAAGTAACTGCAGAGACTTAAAAAGGTTTAAACAACCTCTTTGGTAAAACTTTGACCATAAATGCACTTCGTATGCTAACAGAATTAGCTACCACTTGTGGCGATGTAGCTAAAGTGATATTCAAATTCAAATTAAAACTTAGACTAGTAGTCAAAGACTACGCAATTAAATTTAAATCTAAGCTAGTTCAAAAACTCGAATCGGTGTATCAAATTTAAGTGTCGGCAGCAATAAACGCAAAGCCGAATGAATAATTAAAACATATGAAAGCTGGCCGGAACTATGTAACGCGTCTGCGAAAAACAGGAAAACAGTCTGTCTTAAAATCCCAAAACCTCATTTAAGTACTCTCTAACTCATTTAAATTTCTGGTAAGGAAACGGAATGGAGAAATTATAGTAAAGGTTGGAATTATAAATAATAAAAACTAATTCGCAAATGTAACCTCGTTAAGTGATTAAAATTAGATTCAACATAGATTTACTTTATGGTACCAAACGGGATAAAGTAATATATGGTCAGCGTAAATTATTTGTGCGCGGATTTCTGAATAGTTATGAGCAAAGGAATCATTCTCAAACTAAAATTATATAAATTTACTTTTCTCAGAGTTTTTAACTTTGACGTGATAATTGTCTTTATATACTTGCCAAATATTTTTCAAATCAGTTCACTTACTTTCAAATGAGAGAGGCGTTTAAAACAAAGAATACTAATTTAGAGAAATAATGGTAAAGAGCTATGCAAGTTATGAAATAAAAAAATGAATTAGAAAATTTCTGACTGAGAAGAAAAAGGATTTACCACCATGCGATGAAACAAAATTAGTTATGTGTTTCGAAGTAAAATACATAGTAATAAAGGAGGATAAAGCATCGATAAGCGGTGTATTACGGTGACCGGAAAAATGCCCACAGAAAAAGAGCTTACAGGAATAATGCTCACAGGTATAAATGCTCACAGGTAAAAAGCCCATACAGAAATATGCCCACAAAGTAAAAAGCTCACATTGAAAAATGCTCACTTAGAAATATGCTCACACGGAAAAAAGCTCACATAGAAATAAGCCCACTGATAAATAAAATACGTAGAAATATCCTTACATTAATCAATCGATAATTAATCGATTTTGAACATCGTACATCTACTTGAATTTTTCAAAGAAAAATTATTCAAATTATCAAAACATCGATGGCACATATATCAAAAACTGTATAACTTATGTGTAGATTCAGTTGCTATATAAGATTAACAAATGGACTGTTTTGAATTAGGAAAAGGAGAGGAGGAAGGAAGAAAAATGAAACAGAATAAATAATACAGTGAAAAATTATTACAATTTTAATTGTTAAAAAAATGAAATAATAGTAAATATAAGTTACACATTTTATAATAAAAACGTTTAGAAGAGTAAGCAAATATAGCTAATTACTTTATTTGAATGACGTAAAATATCTTATTATATATAAATCATAAATATATATTTCAAAAAGTTATAAATACATAAATTTACTGAAATTATAGCTAATATATGTAAATATCTAATTTTATCATCGATTTATTCATATTTCTTACATGATTCGCGATTACCAAATGTTAGTTTTTTTTTTTTTTTTTTTTTTTTTTTTTTTTTGTAACTTCAGTACGCTTTGTATTTACAATAGCTAATAATAAACATTCACAGGCTAAATCTTTTTTCGGTCCGTCAAATAAAAACCACATACTGGAATGGCTAGAATTAAATAATGAATTTAGTACCTTATGAAAGTTTTCGTAACGATTTGTCGTTTTAGGAGATTTTTCGACGGCTGCTTCATAATGATTACACACATCGATTGGAAATTGTGGTCTTCTAGAACTTTTTTAGCTCCAAACTTAAATAACTACATTGAAACATCAATTTCTATAGACACACATCCAAAGTATGCAAAAACAGAGTAAAAAAAAAAATTAACTATTTGCAATTACTAGAATAAAAATGTCGTACAGGGGCAGTAGTATAAAATATTATAGTACATTTAAAATTTTACTATAGTCTTCATTCTTTTATATACCGCCCTTGAAAAGGTTAATGCGAGCATTTGTCCAATAATTTTTTCAAAAGATTAAATATTTTTTCTTTTAAAAATTAAGTAGGTGTACGATGTTCAAATCGATTAATTATCGATTGATTATTGTAAGGATAGTTTTACGTATTTTATTTATCAGTGGGCTTATTTCCATGTGAGGTTTTTTCCGTGTGAGTATATTTCTAAGTGAACATTTTTCCATGTGAGATTTTTTCTATGCGGGTATACTTTTGTGTGGACTTTTTTCTGTGAGCATTTATATCTATGAACATTATTCGTGTGGGCCTTTTTCCTAAAACCATGTATTACTTATCACATACAGATTACAATATGATAACTGATAATAAGAGAAAGTACTACTTGTAATTTCTGTTAATTGTTTCAACACTAAGTAAAGGCCATGGAGTAGATGCGCAACCTCTCTTATGTTTATATGCTTTCAGACTTTTTAACAATTTTTAATTTAACTTTGTAACTAAATTTAAATCTTAATTCCGCTATATCAGAAGCTACAAAACTTCATTAATTTTTCATGCATTGTTGTCTATGGATATTCAGAAGAATAAAATAAGTACGATAAAAAAGTACGATATTAACTTCAGTTAAGTTTACTTATACGTATAGTTGAAGCACACATGCATTAGGTGCTTTATTTACTTATGCGTAAGCCCATACAAATAGATTTCAAGATCATTAATCTAGCTGAATATTTTAGTAGGGTTGATAAACAAACAAAATTCTTTTTAGGGATTAATTAAATATGATATTTCGACACATGAAACTATAAAAATTTCTGATTCCATGTTAAAACTCTTGTTATAGTGATTAGGGAGAGTACGAAACTATCAAAATTAAAAAAGCAACGTGAAATCCAAGCATTTTCTGTATATTAATAAACAAAAAGAATATTTAGAGCGACTGTTAAAGTCATCAAATAAAGAAAATAATATTTTGAGAAATTCATGACTGTTATCGAAAAATATTTATTGTAATATACTGTTTCCCGTCTATTTCTTATTGTAATATACTGTTTCCCGTCTATTTCAGGAAAATGAAAACCGAATGAAGATATTGTGTTACTTGTTACTGGTAATAAAATGGTAGAAAGATAGTAAATATGGTGGTGAAATTCGGAAAATGACTCTATCGACAATAGAATTCCTGGAATTAGCAGTAACTAGTTCTAAACAACTTATTGTTAGATTTTAAAAAGTCTCTCTCTCTCTATATATATAGCTTTTTATAAGTTTAAACAAGTAAGCTTTTATTTAAATATCGTAAACTTATTATCTTTGGAAGATTATGCAGGAGGGAAAGGTATGTGAAGTTGACGAATGTTTTAAAGCTGAATGTTTATAACTGGAAAAAAATTGTTCTGCAGTATGCATAGATAATGTAGCCCTTATACACTTTATGTAATGATATCATGTAACCTTTTATACCCTGCCTGTTCCATGGAGGGGCCCTTGCAGCAAAAGAATTAAACGATGTGTTTTCAAGTTGTTAGATTTATTATTAAAGTTATTAAAAGCCATCCCTTTAACAACCGTTTATTAAAAAAAAGGAAATTTTAAATAAGTTTTCTAAAAACGGACTCCGATTACAAAAATTTATAACACGTGTAAATAAGATGGAAGTCAAGAGAGCGAAGTTTAAGAAAAAACGAATATACTATAGAAAAGACGAATATATTAAAAATATTAAAAAATATAATATTATGTATTATATTATTATTTAAAAATATATTATTTTAATCGAATAAAATCTAATCTTGCAGCTCTTTTTCAAAATGATATATAACCTTAAGCTAGACTATTTGTTAGATACATTTGAGAAATAAACGACCTCAACTTGTCTATTCAAGGAAAAAATAGCAATACGTTTACTTCGAATGATGAACCTGAAGGTTTTATTAAAATGTTCAACATTAACCAAGTAGGATGGAAAACTGGTTCATTCAAAAGTTTAAGGAGCATTGCTCACAGTAATGAATCTTCAAAATCATTATAAAATTGTTAAGGAAGCAGCGTTATGTTTGTATTAAATATAAACTTCTTGAAACACTTCTGCATTTAAAACTCTGTAGCATGCAGTCTGTACCAAGTAATCAAACTTTTTCGTTATGATTTATCACTGCTTCTTGAAAAGAATTCCACTACTAGAGTCATTTCTTATGAAACTTGTTTTGCCTATTATAATAAACACAATGGGAGAAAAAAAGGTAGAAACAGAGCAGCAGGAAATTTACTGGTCCGGCAGATTTTTCGGGCGGAAATGATCAACGTCGTAAGTATTTCAAGCAAATGCTTATAATACCCTGAATTCAATAGAATTCTAGGAACAGGAAGTGGCTGCGAAATTCTTACACTGTCAGAACATGTTAATTTTATTTATATACGTGTGACTTATATTTAGAAAAATCACACTTTGAGACACATAAATTCAATCATTACGAGAACCATCTAAATGAATATATTCTTATTTGTCACTTTGTAAATAAATATTATGAAGAAATGTTTTAACGTAATTTTTAATTACGTTCTCTTTTATTTATATATAATTATAAAAGCGAAATAATTCTGTCATTTTTTGCTTGTGTCTCGTGTAAAGTTTCTCATTGTAAATATAAATAACCTAAGTTATTGAAATCACAGCTTACGCTCATATATGAAGGGTAAAATTTGAATTGCGAAGCAGATGTAAGTTCATATTTCTTTTAAAATATACCCTTAATTTTCCCCCTTATTATCTCATTATTATTATAGTTTTATGATATGACATATTACAATTCTTTATTTTCTTACTATCACTTCAATAATTCAAGGAACAGCTATTCTGATTAATTTATAATAAAAAATACATATTTTCCATAAATTTTAAGTTTCATATTTACTGCAATAATTTTTGCTATACAATAAAAACATACAAAAGTAAACGAGACATATTCCTCAAAACTTCTATGAAAAATTTATATTGCTTTCTTAATTGACTGTGTTACACTTACCTTGGCGTAATCACCATTATAAAATCCATCCACAAGGCCTGTATAGAAAGACAAAGGCAGTAAAAGCAGCTGATTAATACTTAGCATTTGCTTAAAAGTAGCTAAAATATATTTTGGGGAAAATTCTTGCTGTCTGCGAATAGAAAGCTGTTCTGCATCTAAAGAATCCAAGAAAAATGAAACAAAAAAGGCTGCTGTAAGTCCTAATGCCACATAAATTGTCACCAGAATATATCGTTTCACTTCAGGAGGTGGATGAAGATTAGGATTAAATTTGAACCCAACCTCATCGCAGAAATCGGCTCCACAGGCGTTCAGAACACTACTGGGCAAAGAATTGTCTTCTTCTTCCTCATCTTTTAGTACAAAATAGGATATCATATTTCCCCAGATTTCAGTATTCTGTTGAAAAGCGGCAGATATGCTGAAAAACCACGCATTCATATCAGTTGCTGAAGCACCTTGAAGTGTGGCGTATCGGTGGCTAATTTCATTGATGTACGTATTTCTAGCGGCCCATAACGGACCAGATACCAAACCACAGAGGGCAGCTGATGGTATTAATGTGGACCAATCGGGGTAGAAGTTCGCTAAGATGTAAGGACAAAAGCTTACGAAACACACTACAAGAGTTTTCTTGCAACCTAAGCATCTGATGACTAATGTTGGGAGAAAAAGTGAGGAAATCGTTAAAGTACCGTAAATCACAGCCAAAGATACAACTCCGACGCTAGTTTGGCCATTCATAGTGCTTTGAAGGTTTGCTAAGGAATCGAAAGCCATAAAGAGCAAAAAATTTCCGAATGATAACACTAACAAATTTCTTACTATGAATGTTTTGCTATTTGAGGGCTGCATAGTTAAATTTTGATTATTAACGTCATCTCCATCAATTTTCACTACGTTTGTGGTTGTTGGAGTTTTGGCACTTAGTGCACCATTCTCACTGTCGTAAAAGGTAGTAAGTGTTATAAGTATCGATGACTTAGTTTCCTGCTCTTGTTTAGTATTGCTGCCTTGGCCTTGCTCGTCTACCGCCATTGCTTGTACAAAAAAATATAGGTCCTCTAGAAATTATTACTCCGTGGAACAATTAACAATTTTTTATGAGGCAAATATTTCGTCTGATCAGATCTTGAAGTTTCTTTCTTTAGCAGTGCAAGAAGTGTAGTAAATTGACCGCATAATTAATCCTTGAACGTCCATTCTACCTTTTTATGTAAAAGAAACACATTTCTTTAAATCTGTACTTCATTAATAAATTCATTACTTTATTGTTTTATACAAAAAATTGAGCTATGACTTTATGAACAAAATATTAAATGATCCGAAGCTGTACTCGAGAGTTTTCTGCCTTGCTGTATGATTCAAAATGGTTCAAAACCTCAAGGAACTCGAATCAAGTATAATCGAATTCTGTGGATCGTAGAAGTACTTCATGGACATTTGAAACAGCTGCTACACACAGAATTTCTTTTAGTTTACTTTGGTCGCAAATAATTTATAGAATGTAAGGTGGGAATACTGAATAAAGAAAACTGAGTCTGTTTAAAAGTTTCCTTTGTTTCGCTCCGAATTGTATCAACATTTGTTGTTTATTTAGCCTTCATGGAGTTAAACGATTTTAGTTGCACAATACAATGAAATGCACTTTCGTCCAGTCCCATTGAGTTATAGGAAGTAGACAAAAAAGTACGAACACTTGTGTCAGCTAGTAAATATATAATGTATTAACTATTTTTTCACATCTTTTTTTGAAAAATCTTAAGACTTTTTGTAGTAAATATTATTTTTGTAGTAAATATTATTAAGAAATCATTATTCCTTGGTATCCTCTTAAAATTTTTTGTGCAATTTTATGAAAAGTTAATGCGTTATGAACATATTAATAATGCTATATACTCAGAGAAGATCACATTTCAAGAAAAACGTATGTAATCCTACATATTTTTTGGTATAATTTTTTTTTATCAAACATGAAGTGGCAATTCACTGAAACTTCATTTTATTCCTTTACATAAGTGAAATTAATTTTATTATGATTTGTAACTCAACATTTCAGAATCTTTCATTACTACTATTTATTAAAAATAACTTTTTAGAATTCCAAAAGAGGAGTAAAACTCCAGCAGTTTCAAAAGTTTATGAGGTGTTTACAAATGATATGGTAATGCTATTTTTGTCTTATAACCCTAACAAACATGAAGATAGTTATCTCTAAGTTTGAGAACAACGATAAAGTCTTGAGAAGGTTAAATTAACCTTTTTATTTAAACAGAACTTGGTCCATAAATTTATGCTCTCATGCTACAATAATCACAACTCGTAGTGATACAAATAAATAGAAAGGTGACAGATGAAAGTGTGGGGAGACACCAGAACTTCACTATGAAATTTTACGCCGTGTTGCCCCCTCATATTAACCTGTAGAAGAAAGACCTTTCCGAGGATGAGCGCCGGTTGGGCGAAACTTGAAATCTTGGTGTTGGTGTATTTAATTATGGCAAAGCACACGAGGGCTATCTGCCTAAAGGGAGGGATGCCTTTCGTGGAGGACTTTCTAAGGGAAACTGGCTCGTATACACGTTACACATGGGGAAAACCAGAAAACGCCCATGCAGCCAGCCCGTTCGCGGGATTCGAACCTCAGACCGAACTACCAGTGTTCAGCGTCTTTACCGCTCGGCCGCTGGTGTGGGCCTTGAAATCTTGAAGTTCATAGTATTCAAACTGGTGATCAGGATAAGATCGCATTCCACGCGTCCGCTGTTTTTATGGTTCGGAGGGCTGTTATAGATTTACAGAATTAATAGCTCACTAATTAATTCTGTAAATCGCATAGTAATAATCACTTTCCGTTGAATATATAAATTAAAATAATCAATTTTAGTAATAGTAATAATTAACCTCCATTGGCAATTAATGGATCAATCTTGCAGTAGCATTAATCTAATTTTATGATGTAACATTAGAACTAATGTTTAGGTTGAAAAAATACGCAGTTATGTTCATTTCACAGGGTACGATTGCAATAACAGACTGAACAATTATTTTGGTACTTTTGTAAGTTTATCTTAAGTTTATAACAGTTATTATCCTAAGTTTATAACATAAAGAAATTGATCTCTCTTAAACAGGCTCAAATTTCAGACTAAATTTTAGAATTAAAGCGTTATAACCTAAATTTTGATAATTAAAACGGTAACAAATTTTTAATCTAATATTTATTATTTGTGCATATTTAATACAAATAGCCAATAGGTTGGGCAAATAGATTTAAAGTAGTCTGTCTATTTCAAATTCAAAAAACTCAACCTTTCAGTACTAACATGCATTCAGATGATGAATATAGAAAGGAAAAGTTATATAAACTGTTAAATTATAATAAATGGTTAACTAACATAAGATTTCCTACAGGTTACTACTAATTATCAAGTTTTATTAAAAGCTTTAAATCATGCTTCATTTACTTGTTTCGAGGTTTAGTGGAATAAACATTTTCCCAGCATTGTGGAATCCACCATGAATGAAACTTTCAACCAAAAATAATGTATACATATTTCTTCTTTCTTAATTTTTATATTACATATATCAAGAATGAATAAAATGATGTATCAGATGAATGAATAATTTATGGTAGTATATAACAGATTTTATAATTTCAGTTTGATTGTAATTTTCTATATACAATGATTTTTTTAAGTACAAATTTGCTGAAAGTACAGTGCAAATTTGTTGAAACTTATAAAAAGTATTTCCTTGTTATATATTTTATTGAAAGTGTTTCATTATTCAATAAACTTTATTTACGAATCTGTAAAATTTTTTAATAGAAAACTAAGTTGATAATACTAGGTTCTCTGAAAGTATCAGAAATCATGCTCTTCCCCGGTTTGATTAATAGTTATCGTTTATTGTTGTTAAAATGCAATGTATTTAAAATATAGATATATATATATATATATATACTGAATTAAAATCTTCATTAAAATCATGTGAATGTAAGATTGTATTAAAATTACGGATTTTGTAGGCACATGAAAAGAAATAAGGCTTACATTATGTATCGCCAAAAATCTTTTTAAAACAATTTGAGTGAAATGAAATTACTTGAATGTACCGACAATAATCATTTGCTTACATGACCTTTTTAAAAGTCTGTACTCACTTTTTAAAATGCAGTGTCACTTTACTTTTTATTTTTTACATTGTAGCTAAAGATACGTTCTAGTTCATTCTTGGCAATTTTAATTTAAAAATTCATCATTGTTAACAATTTCAGGATCATTTTTAGCAGGCAGAATCATTATTACAGTCCATCTATAAAATTATGGATGGACTATAATTTTATATAGATGGAAATATTTTTCAAAATTTGTGAGTTATTCTAGGAATTCTAGGAAAATTTCATTTAAAAGATTATTGTCTAATCTCTTCGATGGTATAAAATGTCAAATGATGGAATTTTGAGAAAAATTTCTTAACGTTTACTAGTGTCATCGGAAACACGTGAACAAGCAACACTTAGAGACAATCGGTTTAGTAGAAGTGGATCTAAATTGATTCCACGTTTTGACTTAACAAACAGAAACGAACCTTTAAAAAAAAAAAAAAAAGTCGAAGGAAGAAAGGTCAGGATAAATTTAGGCAAGGCTATCCTTTCAAGAAAGGAAACTGCTAAGTCTAACGAATATCTAAAATACACTGGTTATCATAAATTAAGGAAAAATCACAAAAATAGCGATAACTCCCTCAAAAATAAGCCAAACCGTGTAAAATTTGAATATGTTGCCAAGGAAGAGTAGCTGAGTAAAACTGCGATATGCAAATTAGTGGCGCTGCTTTCGGAATACGTCATCTGCGAGGAGCATATAAGTCCATGTTTGAGAGCAAGCCCACATATTTCACTGTGACAGTGACATCAGAAATCTGAGATAGCCAATTCGTAACAATGACCTCCGGTCATCATTTGCCTGCAGAACTGCGATGGAGAGCCAATTGGGAGACTAGAGGTAGGACAAAGTCGAACGGAAGTGGCTAAATGGGAGTCCTTCTGTGGTTCATAGAATTTGGAGGCAATTTCAAACCACAGATTCGGCATCTAGGGAGGTTCAGCCAAGGACGGCCAACTGCTACGACGAGCGTCGATGACCGATATTTGACATTATGTGCACGCAGGAATATAACCGCTACTCCGACTCTTCTTAGATCCTCCCTTGCTGCAGCCATCGAAAGGTTCGTATCAACGTCAACTGTGCGTAGAAGGCTTCACGAAGATGGTCTGTATGCGAGGCGATCAGCCATTTGCATGCCGCTAACGTCACGCCATAGGAGGGACCATTTTCAGTGGGGTCGACAGCACGTCCACTGGACGCCTGATCAATGGCGGGCGGTTCTCTTTACGGAAGAGTCCAGGTTTAGTCTAGAAAGCGATAGTACGCGTTATTTGATATGGAGAGAACCTAGAACCCGTTATCATCCGTCAAACATCCGTGGCAGAGATGCATACGGAAGGGGCAGTGTTTGTGTTTGGGGTGGCATCTCTTTGGGTGAACGCACAGACCTCCATGTCTTTCCAAGGGGAACCGTGAATGCTCAGATTTATAGAGATGACATCCTTGATGTTTAGGTGCGCCCATATGCCGGGGCAATAGGTGATGCTTTCCTGTTACAGGACGACAACGCAAGACCACACAGGGTTCCCATCGTAGATGATTATCTTTAACAGGAAACAATTATGCGCATGGAAGTGGCCGCAAGCTCGATCCCCGGACTTTTATCCGATCGATCACATTTGGGATGCTTTAGGGAGACGACTAGCTGCTCTCAATCCGCCCCCTCAGACCGTTGCCACGCTTGCAACTGCTTTGCCAAAGATCAATGGCTCTCGTTTCCTTCGTTTCTATGGAACTGAATAGACCGCTTATAATTTAAAACATCACACATCGCTGTATGTGCTTGTATTGCTTCTAGATGGCGATCCATATTCCATATTGAAGGTATTCATATAGCAAACTGATACCTTCGATTTTTTTTTTCATTTTATACATATGCTAATATTCTATACTACCATATTTTTCTGGTAATTTCTTTTTATGTTATTTGATACCTTGCTATGTGTTGTATATTGTGGGTAAGTTTCATTAAATTCTACATGTAACTTTTTCAGTAATCGGGATTTTTGTTATTTTTCCTTAATTTGTGCTAACCAGTGCACGTTTATTTCTCTTTAACAAATGGAGGCCTACCAGCTGCCGAGCGGTAAAGTCGCTGAGCACTGGTAGTTCGGTCCGAGGCTCAAATCCTGCGAACAGGCTGGCTGCATGTGCTTTTTCGTGGCTTTCTCTATGTGTGACGTGTATACGAGCCAGTTTCCCTTAAGTCCTCCACGAAGTATTTCTTCCCTTAGCCCCCGAGGCTTTGCCGTAATTACATAAATCAATTGTACTTAGAGAGATAATTTTTGATGGGCCGAAGGAGGTTTGAAAGAATTTTTGTTTCTTATGTGTTTACGTGTATACATTTTATGATTAATAACTCATTTATTTTATGACTTTAACTATATATAGTAATTTTTTTATTACTTCTTTTTACGATATTTTCTTCTAGAACTCTTCTTTCGCCAATAATTCTTTCATTGCAACTATATGCATAAAGGTCAGGATAAAATGCCATTATGTGCATTTGTGAAGTAAAAGGTTTAGGAACCATTGACTTAAATCGCAAATTAATGAATGCTACATCAATAGTCTTTTCTGCTGTAAGGCATATATGTAAGAAAAGAGATCACACAACGACTGCATTTATTAAAAAATGTATTATCATTATTAAATTAAAAACGTATTAATCAAAATTCAAGATCTGATTTAGAGAGATTCAAGTTACACTTAAGTTATTTTTAATAAGCCATTAAATGATACAAAATAGATTAAAAATTAAATAAAAATAATTTATAATAAAAGTATTTCAGAGGATATATATACTTTATAAATAAATAAGTACAAATATTTCACAGCATTTCAGATAAAATATTAAAAATGATAAAATTCTCAATAATAAATAGAATGTAATAAAACAACTATAATATTATTTATGTTATAATAAATGTCTCTAAGACATTTAATATAACATAAATATAATCATAAACATAAATAATAATCATAATCATAAACATAAATAAAAGACATTTATTATAACATAATTAAAATCTTGTATAATGATGCCAAATAATTTAATGCAAAGTCATAAGCATAACTAATTATAAATTTTACAATAAATTTCACATAAAATTGAAACTCGAAAATTAAATGCATTGTATTTCTGTTTGGATTACAAGCTGTGAGTTTTCTTACACATACGTTGTTATCAGATGACAATATAATACACCGATATGAAATATAACAACTTAAAAAAAAAGGAAGGGAAACTGCTGTGTATAAAGCTGGGTTTATGATGGGAGAATTGCATTATTATCATTAACTTCATGAATTATCTTTTTCAAAGATTTAATAAGAATAAATATATAATGACTTTTCATTAATAGTAACTTTCAGTAATAATTCTTCTTCAATAATAGTAACTTTTCAATAACAGTATTTCCTAGCTAGAAAAATTCATTTCATTTCACAAGGGATTATTGCTTGGAAAGTATTAAGGAAAATGGAAAATGAAGTAGATATACAGTTCAAACGAGTTGTATATGTAAAATGTAACAGCAGTTTTTTAAAATTCCAGCAGTTTTAGATGCTGCCGATTTGCTAGATCTGTAAAGGTGTTTGTTCTTTTTAAAGAAAACATTCCAGAATACAATATCTAGGAATTGATTTGTTTTAACATTTCCTTTTAGTTGCCATTTAGTTTCTTCCAATGTAATATCATTTAATTAAATTTTTGGGCCTTACAAACGTCAATTAGTGAAAACTGTATAAATTAGCTTTAAAAATTCGCACGCAGGATATAAAATACGACTGACTGCACATAAACAATTTTCTACGGAGTAGAACTTCAGATTCTTGAACCTTTTTCTGTAAAATAGAAGTTTTAATAGTTTTTTCAGTAAGTGTTAATTACACTGGCATTGTAAAACTGGGGAAAAACTAAATTTCCTTTGACGTTAAACACGAGTGTTACTTTAAAACTTTGTTTCCTTTATTAAATCCCATTCTGTACGATTAAAAAAAAATTAATTCTTTTTTTATCGGAGTAATGATAATGTGTCATATTGGTTGAGTCTTCGATAACTTCGACTGCCTATGACAAATTGACTAATTATTTATTAGTTATTAACTGAAAGTTCAAAATATGTCATTTCTTACAACAACTTACGTAATGTCGCACGGGCGTTTCTTAAACAAAATCTAATGTCTGCATTCGTATCCAAAAGAACATGTTTAAGTTTTATAATAAATCATGTGCTTGGAAGGTCGTAAGAATTTTTTCTGTTTTTCTTTATTTCCACAATGAGGTAACCAGTTATGCCTGTGGCTAAAAAACCTAGAAGTATATACATTTTTGGTGCTATGCAAAGGAACGTGCTGTAAGCGAAAGCTATAGAAAATCCCAAAGATTCCCAAAGTCTGTAATTGGAGAAAGCTGCTTCTTCTTCTGATCGGAAAAGAACACCATACAGAGCTGCAAAAATAGAAGTCGTAATTATATTTTCTATAGTACCTGATAAAAAAATCCATTTTTAATTTTAAAAACAAATTAATCTCATGAGTGAAATAATTGAGAAATACAACAAAAAGTTTATTATTAAAAAATTGAAAATTTTATAGTACCTTAATTCTGACATGTCTAACATATGGTATTATTGAAACTTTAATTGCTTGTTTTCGAAGATTTTAGATATAAAATGAGAATGTCATCATCGTTGCCCAAGGTTGCGAAAAACTAACTGCAGATTAACAGGATTAACTGCATATGCCCCACATTATTAGCCTAAAGAGTGTTAGCCCATAAGGGCTATTAATTTCGTTTTGTTGAAAACTTTAATAAATGCCCGTTTCACTTTTCAAATTGTTTCCACCAAACATTTTCGCCCTGTGTTATATTTAAAGAATTTAAATAATGAAGAATCTGCGTAAATACATGTATGTTTTTCGCATTGTAATAAAACAACGGTACCTAAAGCCACCAAATTTTGAATAACGTAATCCTCCATCGAATATGGGCATCTGGAAGCCCTAATTTGGAATTTGTTTTATTATCGATTTCATATTTTGTAACACTTAAACGAATTTTTTGGTTAACAAACTCAACGATTTCAAAGTGAGCAATGGCAACACTGTATTGGAGGGGGGGGCGTTTTTATATCCAGCGCGTGAGATGGTGTATCGGAAATTTAAAAGATATGCTCTTCTTAAGTGATATTGCTGTTAAATAATTGAATTTTATGGTTTAAGTGCGAAGAATGTGATATTTAATGAATAAAGATAACACACAGAACGTTTAAAAAAAAAAAAAAAAAAAAAAAAAAAAAAAAAAAAAAAAGCCCGTTTGGGCATAATAAAAAATCTGAAAACTTTCAGATTGTTTTTCAGTACATTTCTAAAATGAAATTGGGCTCTAGTGTAGAATTTGGTGCCCCTTCGATTAGCGACAATTTTTTGTAAAAGTTTGGCGATGAAATCTCATTTCTGGTTACCATAATCGTTGCTTTAGTCTCCTGATTTTTTTTTAAATAAAAATAGATTGATGTGTACATGGTCAAATTTAAAGCAGTGCGCAATGCCTAGTTTGTGCAATTCTGGGATTTTTTTTTAAGTGAAAACAGATCGATGTGTACATGAACACAGAGTTTATGCAATTCTTTGACTTCTTATTTTGGTTTTGTGTAGCGGACATCTTGAAATTGTGTCTTTCTGGCGCCGATCTTGGCGTCAAAAAAGAATCGCCAAAAAACAAGGAGCACCCAATTGTAAACTTTTACCTGAAATTGAACAAAACATTGCGATCTGAATAGAGTGAGTCCCCGCTTAACGCCGTTTCAGTTTAACGCTCTTTTATTTGAATTGTGGGATTCCCTGCAATTGCACGCAGCGTTATTAGGCTTCCCGATATCCGAAGCAGTTTATCTGTGTTTCTTCTTTCCTGCGGTGTTATACGAACGTATTTTTATCGTTTCAAACATTTGTTGACGTTATTGTAAATAAAAATTTATATAATATTATAAGGATCTTAAGTTTTACTAACGTTTATTTTATTTTAAATCTTTACTATCACTTCTTATTTTCTACTTCCGACCAGAATTAAAAGCGTTAACTTATTTATGCAAAATTTGTCTGGCGAACGCCAAGTACTTAAGTTGTGGCTTTTTGCCAAGCGAGAGAGAGGAAGGAGTTAGTCGAAGCAGGCCGCTTACCTTCGAAGTTTTACTCAGTTGCTGTTTGCCTTTCAGGCCAGAGGTTTAATCCTCGTGATAATTTTAAACGTATTGTAGTGTTAACAGTTCTCTGTACTACATACGGCTTCCTGTTAATATCCGGCCAATCTTACACGTAGGCCCTTGTTGATTATTCCAAATTTAAGTTAGAGTTTAGTTATATTTTTATATTCTTACGTTCAGACCACAAGTAGTTGGTCTCTGTATTCCGAAATACGGAAATTATTGTAAAGAGTGAAAAATAAAGGGTTTTGTATACCCTTCCTGTGTATCTTGTCTACTTCCCACAGTTATTGAACATAGCTTTAGTAAGCTCCCTGTTCCAAGTCAGGTCTGTGCATGTTCCCAAAGAAAGTAAGACGGAACATTGAACCTGATAATATAACGATTGATATAGTGATAAATAGTATGATTTTTAGTTTTTATCATGGGTGATAATAAAAAACACGAAAATAAAGCAACAAGAAAAAGCATTTTACTAGAAACTAAAATGCAAGTGATTAGAAGATTGGATATTGGTGAACGTCAATCTCAAATTGGTGCTGCATTGAATTTGGCAACTTGAACAATAAGGATTATTCTTAATAATAAGAATAAAGAAAAAATACTGTCATCGGCAACTGCAACTACGACAAGTTCTGCAACTAGAATTACCCGTTTACCCGTTCTAGAAATAATGCAATAGAGGGAATGGAAAAACGACTTCCTATATGGATTGACGACGAAATTGAACGCAATATGCCATTAAGCCAATCTATTATAATGGATAAAGCAAGAAGAATTTTTAATGACATTCAGGTTGAGGCAAGTGACACAAATGAAACTTTCGTTGCAAGTCGAGGATAGTTTAATAGATTGAAACATCGAAATAATCTTCATTTCATACAGATTACAGGAGAATGAGCAAGTGGTGATACGAAAGCGGCAGCTGAATTCCCAGCGACATTAAAAACAATAATTGAACGAGGAAACTATTCTCCAGAATTGGTTTTTAATGTTGATGAAACGGGCCTATTTTCGAAAAGAATGCCAAAACGAACACTTCTATCCCGCGAAGAAAAACGTGCATCAGGATTTAAAGCGGCAAAAGATCGCTTAACACTTCTATTGGGTGGGAATGCAAGCGGAGATTTCAAATTGAAACCATTACTTGTTTACCAATCCAAAAACCCAAGAGCGATAAAAGGAATATCTAAATCCTGTAATTTGGAAGTCTAATAAAAAATCATGGATAACTATGAAAATTTTCCAGAATTGGTTCAATGAATATTTTTGCCCGTCTGTTAAACGCTATTGCGATATTAAAAAACTTGAATCAAGAGTATTTTTAATTGATAATGTTCCAAGCCATCCAACGAATTTATCTGACTTAATAACATACATTTCAGTCGAAGTGGTTTTTCTTGCGCCTAATACAACTGCCTTAATCCAACCAATGGATCAAGGCGTTATATCAGATATTAAGGCGTATTACCTGCGGCGAACATTTAGACAGATGTTTGAAAAACAGACGGAGAAACAATCAATAAGAGAGTTTTGGAAAAACTACAATATCATGAATGCTGTAGAAAACATAAACATTTCTTGGAATAAGGTAACAGAAAAATGTTTGAATGGGGTGTGAAAGAAAATTTGGCCACATCTAAGCAAGGGCTGTGATACTGGACACTCTATCGATATGAATGAAATAGTGGATTAAGCGAAACAAACCGGTTTAGATGAGGTGAATGTGGAAGATGTCGAAGAAATAGTGCAAGAAACAGCAGCAAGTCTTTCTAATGATGAGCTCAAGGAATTAGCGGGCCAAGAAGAATACAAAAATATTGTAAGTAGTGATTCTGAAGAAGAGAAAAATAGAACTTTCAACAGAGTTTTTAAAACCAGTTTGACCACTATAACAGAAATTATGGTCCAATTTATTGAAAAATGACCCAAATTTTGACAGACGTTCAAAGACAAGACAGAGTGTTGTGGATGTCTTATCCACTTACCAACAACTTCTTACAGAGCGCAAAAGGAAAACGCAAATTACGTCCGATACCTTCTTGATAAAAAGGCAGAAAATTGGAAATACAGAAGAGACTGAATGATCTGAAATGTAAACATACTGACTTCGAATTTTATTTATTTTTATATGCATATTCGTTTATTATGTTTCTATATTTGTAAGGAATAAAATTTTGTTCTATTGTTGTTAAAAACATAACTAATAAATTTAATGGTAAAATACCTGACCAATGTTCTACCCGTCTTTCCCTAACCCCATTATTTACGTGATGAGATAACCTCGTTTAGCGCTGTTTCATATTACGCTCTACTTTGATGGAACGTATATCCCGCGTTAAACGGTGTCTTTCTGTATTTCAGATGACAAGCTAAACATCAGAGAAGAATTTATCTCAGAGAGATAAAGTTATATAGCTTTTACTGCATTGTCAAAAAGCTATACATAATAAACTTATGATTTTAGAGATAAACTGTGTGCAGACTAAATGCTGAAAGATAGCCATTATGTCAGTTTTAAATGTGTGCTGCTTGTTTAAATCCTAAAGTAAGACTTAACAATATTTTTGTACACCCGTAAAGATCTACAACATTTTCTTTCATTTTAAATCCACTTGTAATCCTTTAGCCATGGTAATGGAACTTTTTCGTTCACAAATTTTAATGTTTCCTAGATAAAAATGTCAACTGTTAGTTATTTTTTTAATTTTTGAAAGAATATTGCTAACTATCGAATCATTCCTTCCTCAGGTAATTGTTCTTTGACTTGTTTCTTTCATGTCAAGTTTGTAAATTTTGAAAAGGAATTCCGAATAGCACTGATGTTTTGAAAACCTTAGTAATCTTTAATACTGTAGAATTAAATTCTAAGGATTTGAAGAATTTCGTTTCTCATGTACTTTGTCCTAGTTTGTCACCGCTATGAATAAAAGAACATTCATACGATTTTTATTAATTTCTTTTTTTATTTATTTCTTATCAGAGTGCTCTGGATTCTGAATACGAGGGTTTTGTTCATAACTGCTTCATGAATATTCGTTCATTTAACATAATTTAAAACTTAATTCAAAATTATATTTTATAAATTTATTATTTTACTTATAAATTTAGCTATCAGGGAATCATATCTGATATGCAACTAACAGATTGGAAGTATTCTACGCTGCTTAAATATTTTATTTACAATACTGCGTGTTATCTAATTGTTCACCACAAACTTACCATTTATTTGTGTTTGCCAAATGGCATCACTGAGTCCCCATACTCCAATTAACACAAAGAAGTAAATCGATTGACTTTCTTCTGGTTGCCAAAGGAATAACGCTGTGCAAACTGCCACATTGCCGAGAGCTCCTGCTAACATGAGAGCTACTCTTGACACATATTTAACCAGGCGGCCAGCAAGAAATGACATAATTGCGTTCACTACTCCGAAACATATAAAGACAAGGCCAACGCGGTACACTCCCCAGGCACAAGCTACATAAGCCTGTAATCAACAACAAATTCTATAAGGTAATTTATATATTCATTTCCTATTTAATTTACATATTCATATATATTTCATTTAGATATTCATTTTATATATTCATTTTTTATTTATATATTTAGGTATTCATAATATGACGTTCTTTAAAACTTTCAAAATGTACTCAATACGTTTCTAATGATAAGTTCCTTAAAGCATTTAAAGTTGTTTAAATAAATACTTCTTTACATAAGCAATCAAATAAATAATAATAATAAATAATTTCTCATTGCATCTACATTGGTAACAATTATGTGAATTAAATTTTAAAAGGTTAAAACGTCTGGTAAACTGAATGCTGCATTATCATATTTTTATTTTTGACAGAGCTATCACTTTCAGTGCAAAAATAATTATCAGAGAACATTATTTCCATCAAAGAATAATTTTAAATGTTAAAACGGGGAGTTCTGTTCAATGAAGTATTAGTATGTTCAGTATTTTAGAACTTCGAGAGATGATTTTTCTATTTATTTTAAGAAAGGATTTGATAGGCATGAATATTTGATCCATGGGTTAATTTATTTTTACCTGATAGTTTGCTAAAGTTCTAATATATTCGCACACATGAGAATATATCTAAATATATTAACACTTTATCGTCCTAAGTGAATTATTTTTTTCAAATAATTCGATTAGGCTTAGGATTTCATTTAAAGATATACATATATCTGAAATATAATATCGCTGAAACTTATTGATAATAAATTTATTAATAATTAGATTAAAATTAAAGTTTAACAAAATTAAAATATTTTTATTATATTGAATTGCAATTTTTATTAAATATATAGAATAGAATACAGATATAATATAAGCGGCATTTTTCTCTCAGAAATTAGTAATTACCTAACATGATGTTTTATCTACAGTAGTTTATATTTGGGAAAGCAGACATTCTTAGACGTCATACAGTTGTTTGCGTAAGGGATTTTAAAGTTGTTTGCGCATTTAAACGAAAGATGTAGAAAGACAACTTAGTACATTAAGAAACAATATGATAAAGATGGCTTGTAAAAACGCGTTATGTTCGCCATATGTTATGAAAGCCAAAAATATGGCGAATGAAATTAAACCATAAGAATTATGATTAATGGCTGAAAATATTACATATAGTTTTTAAGCTCTTCTGGAATTTATTAAAGCAAATTTAAGTTTAATAATCTTTAACAAAACACACAAATAAATGCTTAAAGCTCCAGTTCTTAAAACTTGAGTTGACAATCTAGGTAATCTACTAGCGAAAAGCTGCAAGTAAAATGAAAATTTTATTGGTGTTTATTTTACTTCCGTTGGGTGCAAGAAAATTAATTTAAGCTAGTTTCGATAATGGGTGAACAACTAAATGTATCTTAGTCGTAATGTATTTTATAACTTACTTTTGTGTAGTCCCCAAGGATAAAAGCTTGTTCGATGCCACTAAAAACTGTTATAGGCACCAGCAATAATTGATCTACTTTCTTGAGGTGCTTTAGTGTTGCCACCACTCTGGATAAAACATTTTCGTTTTCTGCTTTGGATTTCTTCTCTGTGGGCAGTGGATCTAAGAATATGCTAACAATAATAGCTGCTAAAATAGCACACGATAGATAGATGGCAATTAACATGTACCTTTTATCTTCTGTTGGAGGCTGCAGATTCTCATTCAGTCCACTACAAAAATCAACACCACAGGTTAAATTAGTTTGGTTGGGGTTAAGGTCATTAGCAGGTGATTGAGAACCACTTGTTGCATTATTATACTTAATAGGTTTCAGAACAAAATATGATGCTAGGTTTCCCCATATCTGGGTATTCTGAAAAACCATAAAAAATATTCCAAAGAATCTCGAAGTGATGATATCAGCTGAGTCCGTTCCATGGCCTGCATACAAGACACTAATTTCATTTAGATACGTACACTTAGCTGACCACAACGGTGCAGCGCCTAGACCAAGAACAATCGCAGTTGGCACAAATGTCCCCATATGGGGATAAAAATTAGCAGCAATATAAGGAGCATATGTAAGGATAGACAATGCCAGGGTAAGCTTGCATCCCAGCTTCCTGATTACTAATTTCGGCAGAAAAAGTGAAGAGAAAATCAAAGCAGCATAGATAACGCTTTGAGATACAACTCCTAAATCACCTTTCATGTTCATTGTACTCTGGAGGTTTGCAAGTCCTTGGTAGGCGCTGAATAAGAAAAGGAACCCCAGGCAAACAGTGATTAGATTTTTCATAATTCGGAGCTTGCTCATTACTGGAGTCCCGAGTGGACGAGCAGTGGAATTTTTCTTCCTGTCGAGCTTGTCTCCGTAATCCACTTCCATTTTAGACTGCATATTATTAGATTTCTTCATCTTGAAAGTAATTTTCTCAACCTTAAAGAAAAAAATATGTATAGCTAAATAAGAAAGAGTAAATATTCCGAATCATAAGGTGAAATTTAACAAAATTTTAAAACATATATTGAAATATCACTGCTATGTGTAATAGGATACCATTCTTACTTGCAATAAAATACCATGTCTACACATAATATGATAGTGAATACTATTTCAGGCAATATTTTTGCTTTACTTCAAGTATCGTTGTTATATCTTTAAACAAAATACTCTTACAATGTAAGTATTAAGATAAATGCGTATTTCTTTAAAATTAAGGATAAATTAACATATTCCATGTCTGAACAGAATGAAATAAAAGAATGTACTACAATATATCAGTTTATTAGGATAAAAATTATCATTGTTAATTCGGCTCTAAATGTGGATTTCTTAGAAGCTGCCAAAAGTTTTCACCATAGCAACCTCTTGAAGGATGAGGCTTCTATTCTTTCTTGTAAAGACGTGAGTCAAGTTATTAAGAGGGCCACAAAGCGTGCAAAAGCTATGTGTTGGAGATGCCGTCGTGTAGGACTTTTTAACGAAACTGACAAGTATTTGTGTTTCACATGGGAAAAACCATAAAAAAATCTTAATCTGGGCCGAGTTCCTATTCGACAACTAAAGCGCTTATCAAAGGCGTGGGAAAATTTGCTGCGAGTTACATCTTTATTTTTCTGAAAAGCACTATAACTTCTGCTCTTCATTCCCTAACTTCTGTTACACGTGTTAATAATAACAAAGCTTTATAAAAGTGGAAAATTACAAAGTAAAAGCTGTCAGCAGTTAAGTTCAAAAAACAATTTTAATGCAAATTTGTACATTAAATTTGCATTAAATTTGGCTTTAAGTACTTTATGGTTAAAACGTTTTGTCAGTTGCATGTAGGCATATTATAAAATGTTTTTCATTTTAGTCTAATACTGATTTCATTAGCTTCTCATACATATAGTATAATTTTAATAACAAAATTAATATGGAAATAAACGAAAAAATTAAGAGCCTCATAAGTAGATTTCTAAATTTGAAGACAGATATCAGAGCTTTGGGATTATTACTGTCATCATACCCACTTTGAAACTATTACTGTCATCATACCCACTTTGAAAAGTGATATGCTTTTATCAAAAACATTAATATCGATGTTGAATACTTTTTCTTTAAGGCAACTTTCTCTACTGAAAATCAGTCTTCTGTAACCATTGATGATTGTCCTAGAATCATCATGGAGTTTTGCCAAAATTAATTTTGGTACATCTCATTATATCATAATATAATTGCTTACCAACTCCACTTTTCGTATGATTTTCACTTTATAAAAGCATCGCGAATGTTTAGCCAACAATATCTAGTTTTATGAACGTAGCATTTTTAGAGGAAAAAACTGAAGATCTCGTATAAATATAACCAGAAAAAAACCAAGGAAAACAAGTATTGTTTATAATATTTTGACATTTGCATGTGCAGTCATATTACGAAATGGTATTATTCAAATTGTCTAATACCCTAGGTAAATAACTGGTATTATTAGCTTCTCATATTAATAGAACAGGAAATATAGCATAATTTAATAACAAAATTAATATGAATAATAAACACAAAACTGAAAGTCCCATATACATGCTAAATGACTAAATAGATTTCTAAATTTAATAAGGCTTTGAAGCTAGCTGTCATGGCTGTCGAAGATATAAAATCTAAATTGTTACTGTCATATTCAGTTTGAGACTTTTCACTGTAAAAGTCAATTGCGGTATTGCTAAAAATTATTATCGTTAAAATTAAAGCATATATTTAAAAATAAATAAATAAAAAGTCATCTGTGACAGTTTCGTGTACTATTTTTTTAAATGCATCAAAAATTTCTAATATAAATGCTTGCTTACGATATATTGCATACTTACTTTGTTTTGATGGGAAATAAAATTTGTGTTTTAAAAGACGAATATTTAAAACAATGATATCAAACATTGCTTCATATAGCGATTGTGATTGTGTCTTTCAGATATCTTCGTTATCACACATTCTCCGAATGCTGATGAAATTCTAAGTTCTCTTTCACTTTCGATCTTTTTTCTATATTTGACAACTTGTCAATTTCAATCCGCATTCCATTGTTACTACATCGTTTGAAATGACAGCACATCTACTCTGTTGCTCTTCCTATGCCTTCTCCGTGACTTACAGGCAGTAAACTCGTTGTTGTTTCCCTCCTAAAAAGGGAATTAATAATTATTTTTTTATATATAATTTTTAATTCTTTTAACTATAAATTCTTTTCGAGAAGGGAAAATTGATAAATTCCCTAATTACTTATAAAATAATCTAGAATAAAAATGGTACAATATTGTGTCATCACAATTCAAATGTGACACAACATTACACATTGCAAATGTAAAAACCGGTTTTATATTGTGTCATATAATTCCACGCTGTTATGAAATGTATAAGAATAATTTAAATGAAGAAACAGTTGTTAATTTTAATGACGCAGAAACTCATAATGAGCAATTTTACATAAATTATGTAAAAGGAGTATTGCTGGCAACTTTAGAAATGGTGATGGCGTAGTTTCTGGCTGAATTTCTATGCCAGAAGATAACTACTTTTTGACGAAAAAGTTTGTTAAGAATTATTATAACATAACTCTAATTAAACAACTGCGTAGTGATTAATAGAAGTTACGTTGCGAATTAATTGTGTTTCCACATCTTAAGAAATGCACGTGGAATCCATTTCGAGTCTCAACACATATTAGTCTATGAGGAAGAAATGCAAGGACTGGTTCAATAATGTAAGTTTTTTGATAACTAAAAAAAATTAAGAATTTTTAAGAACGCTATAAAACTATCTTATACATAACCGCTGTAGAAAGTGATAAGCATTTCTCAAATATCGGTGTTAAATGTCACTTCTTTAAGGCAACTTTCTCTATAGTACACAAAAGTCTTTAACCACAAGTGCTGATCCGTTTAATTTTTTTATTTTTAAATTGTATTTTTAATAATTTTTTTACATTAAGTGATTTTTAAAGTGCTAGATTGTAATTTAAAGTTTTTAGATTACATTCAGGAGTTAAACTTCATATAAGGTAGAGGATACTGAGTGATTGAACACTCCATGCCTCAAGAATATGTGTGGCCAATTTCGATACATCATCATCTCCTGTAATGCTAATTTTCGATGAAAAATCAAGTAGATAATTCACAGGCACATGTATCTTAGGAAAAAAAAAAAAAAAAGAAAGAAAATAAGAAAATGCAGCATGACGTGAATATGCAAAATTTCGAAGGTCGTGATCAAATTAAATTGTGATCTGTACACCTGCGCGATAGTGCAAGTTGGGATAAATATACTCAGTGATGTAGCAGTTATGCGGATAGTATATATGGCTGTAATATGGAAGAGATTATAATCTATATTTTTCAAAAATACTGTTACATGCGTCTTTTGCTATAGATTTAGAGGTCCCTCAGTATAGTGAATGAGAGAAGTAATACAACAAATGCCTAAGATAAAATTAGTACGCAACAGAACAGCCCACGGCAAAATAGTCTACAAAAAAAATAGCCTACGGCAAAAAGTCAATGAGAAAACAACCCATGACGGAGTAGCCTAAATCAAATACTTCTGAACCAAGTCCCAAGTGCATTTTTTAAAGTTTAGTATCTAAATACATGCAAGCGATATAAAAGAGTGCATATCTACAAATCTATACCTACATCTTGCATGCAAATACATTATAAAAATATGCACGTTATCGTATTTGATGTTGATTATTATTTATATATGATGGCTAATAAGAGTATGTTATTAAAAAGATTCACAATCATTTATCAGCTGCCCAAGTGGGATAGTGGTTAGCTGACTGCATTACGGAAGGTCCCGGCTTCGAATCCGAATATATTGCCGCACCGAAGGGCCCGGGTATAGATTTTTTTAACGGCCGGGCGCTTTATTTAATAGCCATTAGCCTTGCCCCGCTACAAGTGGACGGAAGTAGTGGTCATTTCAGTATGGATTACCTAATAGGTGGCCACAGTTGCCTGCTATGAAGGGACGGACAGTTACAACCATGCCTTCTCCGGGATTCGAACCCGGGTCAATCGCTACGGTAGTTAGGACATAACTCTGATTTGTGTAGAACCTTAGGTCGGAGGTCCATGCGACGGCGTTTCGGTCACTAACCACTTTACTGGCTGGGCGGTGAAGGGATGAATGTTTGTGCGGCATGGGAGCGCTCTAAATATACAGCGAGCCGAAATTCCTCTAGAGAGGTCAGTGGTAGGGGAAGAGGGCCTGGACGCCTTCGGACCCTTTCCCCCAGGGTGTTGTCCATCAAAATAGGGTGTGGAATTGAGCAAAGTCGTTCTGTCACCTTGTATGGTGCTCAAGGCTGTTGCCAACGACAGACGCAATTTCGTACTCCTTGCCACGATGAATTTCGTGAACTTGTTTTGATGTTACTATCAGACAAGTGAGATAAGTCACAGCAACAACACAATCATTTATCGTGCCCTAGTAATAATTTTCACATACAGGTTATCAGGTTCAATGTTTCTTCTAACCTTCTTCGGAAATATACAATGACCTGACTAGAACAGAGAGCTTACTAAAGCTATGTTCACTAGTTGTAGTAAGTAGACAGGATACAGACGAAGGGTATACAAAACCCTTTATTTTTTTTCTTTATATACAATGACTTCCGTACTTCGGAATACAATGACCCTCCACTCGGGGTCTAACTTAAAAGATATCAAAATAAAACTAAACTCTAATTTAACTTTAGAATAAGATTGGCCTTATAATAACAGGAAGCGTATGTAGCACAGAGACTGTGAACACTACAATACGTTTAATTTATCAAGAGGATTAAAACCTCTGGCCTGGAAGGCAAAGTAGCAACTGCGTAACTTCTAAGGTAAGCGGCCTGCTTCGAACTCACGGCTTCCTCTCTTCTGCTTGGCAAAAAGGCCACACTTAAATACTTGGCGTTCGCCAGACAACTTTGCATAAACTCCTTCACGCTTATAATTCTGGCCGGAAGTAGAAAATAAGAAGTGATAGTAAAGATTTAAAATAAAATAAACGTTAGTAAAACTTAAGATCCTTACATACTTCCCGCCAGAGTTAATTAGTTTGGAAACTGAGGTCTAAAACGACCTTGTTGAAAACTTTTAGCTCTAGAAACTAACGCGAGGCCAACCTTTTACAATCATAACTTAGCTAGAAACTAGAAAATTTTAAAAGAAAGAAATTTGTTACAATAGCAGCTTCCCAATATACACAAATCTTTTTTCTTTTTCATCTGTACTGCATCAAACAGGAGCTTTATTCAATTCTGGTTCCTTCCAGAGATCTGGAAGGAAAACTAGTTTAATGAAATGTTACAGAATGACATTGCAAATAACATATAGAATATACTTTTCTTAACATTCTTATTTCATTCATGACTATTTTAATTATCTCTCCCCGTGCTCTCTGACATGTGTTGTAAAAACACCAAACACGAATGTGTTTCTGTCTATGTGTTCAACACTTCCTCCTACAATCAAAACACTAACGTGTTAAAATTCAACATACGAGACCTCTTAACACACCCTAATTTCAACTCTAGAACCCTGAGGTACTATTCTGAAAGTGGCTAACTCTAAAGTGTAGCGTCAGAGAGCCTAACTACATCATTCAACCTTTAACACATATTCAGCATGATTTAATCTTTACAGTCACACGAATAACAAATTTTTTAACATTACTTTCACTTTTACCATATCACGGTATTTCTAAACATTCAAAATAACAGTTCACATGTATACAAGAACATATCAAGATGCCGTTAATTTTACACATTTGAAAACATACATTAGTAGTACATTGTTAACTTCTATTCTTTTCAAAGCAAGTGCCAATTCTTTCTACATTGAAATAATACTACATTTCAAAAAGTCTTTCAGACTAAAACTTCTTTCTTGTTAGAATGTTTTAAATAAAATTTATACAATAACTTTTTACAATATTTAAGTCTTTATATACAACGCTATTATACATCAACTTTAGTTTTACGCGCGAGTAATTGAAAAACATAATAAGAAAATCGGTCACAACTCATTTCTCGCCCTTTTGGCGATAAAGGTAGACCTCGCATGAGGTAAAAACTTCTTGAAATCTGCCACTTGCAGTAAGAATGAAAGATTAACTTAAGTTTGTAAAGTAACATAAAATTTTACTTATCTTTGTAATATTCAGGACATCCTTTTCTGGGCCCAATCTTTAAAGGTGCTGCAGACCGTAGCTTGGTTGATCCTCCTTCTTGTACGGGCTCGCCCTTCAGTGCTTTCCTCTGGAAGCTTCCGTTTTTCACCACTACGGCCACCCTTGAACATCTTCCTTCTGTCCTCTGCTTGTGGTCTTGGCCGTTTGAAGGCAGCTGGTCTTGGTGGAACCGGGAAACTTCTGTCGTGATCCTGCTTGGACCTCGTTGTTGGCCGTTCAAATTTTTCTTGTACTTTTTCCTCCGCCGCTGATGGCCCTTCCGCAGTTCGGCGACTTTTGCTGCGGAGAGTTCTGTCGGATGAGTCAATCTTCCGTTTCACAGCCGGGTTATAGTTGCCGTCCTTTCTCCCGGTCTTTTCCACATACGTCGTCCTTCTCCCTTCTTCATTCTGGGGGTGTTCGTGAACTCTGTTTTTGGACGGTGGAACGGCTTCTTTTTTCTTGTACCTTCAATTTTTCCGCGGGGCAATTTTCTTTTCACTTGCTTCTGTCCTCTCATTGGCTTGCCCTTGTACTTGTCGTTTTTTCCCACCTCTGGAACTTGTACCTGGTAACGGGTGTCTGCCGTACCGGATCCTGCAAAAGATCTGAAAAGATTTGCATTTTATTACGATCGAAGTAGGGCTTGATTTGATCCATATTTGCGGAACAGGTTTCACACCATTTCACCATTTCTTGCCTTTAACACTACAACAGCGTGAGTTATTTTTTCTATAACATATGGTCCTTCAAAGCGTGGAAAAAATTTGGCAGTTTTATCTTCTGCTGCTGAAGAAAGTGAATGCTTAATTTTTAGTACTTCATCCCCTACTTTATAAGTTACTCCCCGTCGTTTCAAGTCATAATACAATTTTTGTTTTCTTTGTGCTACTTCCGTATTCTTTTTTGCTTCTTTATTAGTTTTTCTATATCACCCATTTTAAATTCTGGGGCTCTTTGT